GCGCTACCGCTTGGGCCACATCCCCAGCCCCGGGACCAGCTACTTTTGAGTTACCAGATATGTATTAGAAACTTACTTTCCTCCCAGGTGAAAGAAAACGGTGCAGGACTGATCACATGGGCACATCAAAGGTAGAGGCATAAGCAGATTTATTGCCAGGCACCTGACAAGGCTCTCTCTGGCTCAGAGAGAACAGCAGTAGGAAGGGAGAGCAGCGGGAGTGGGGAGCAGCAGCAACTCCCCCTTGAGCATGACTTTTAGAGGCCAGAATCATGGCCACCCTTTAGAGGTGGTTTTAGCCCTTGTGACTGGCCTAGCAAGCATCACCTGGTTTTTGTGGAAGGCAAGTTACAGTTCCTTGGGAACAGAGAAGAGCAACTTTTTATCGCTCAAGGAGAGAACAGAGACCGGCAGGTTTTTATCTCTCAAGGAGAGAACACAGCTAGCAAGTTTCTATCTCTTGAGAATAAGAACAGTATTCAAACAGCGGGGGTGGGGAAAGGAGGATGGCTGTAGTTATGCCAACCCCAGAGTCCGTGAATCATTGCCGAAGAGACGCCAGGCCGGCAGCCCTCCAAGACCCCGGTGCTTAGCATGGCTGGCGAGTAGCATCTTCTAGTCAGAATTCCTCTCTTCACTTAATACTTCCCGTAGGTAGGTGAGTCTTGTATTTTTTTTTTTAAATTAAATCATAATGGGCTGGGGTTGTGGCTCAGCGGTAGAGCGCTCGCCTAGCACATGCGAGGCCCTAGGTTCGATCCTCAGCACCACATATAAATAAATAAAATAAAGGTATTGTGTCCAACTAAAGCTAAAAAATAAATTTAAAAAATTAAATCATAAAATAATCTCATGCTTATAAAGTGAAAAATACAGTTATCTGTTCTATCTAACTCATTGTTTCTCAGTAGTTCTTTTATTATTCTTCTCCTCCTCAGGAGCCTTTTTAGACATTTTATGTACTGTGACCCTTTGAAGGGCCACAAACCATCATAATACCTAAGATCTTTTTTGCCTTGTTGAGAATGATATTACTCCCTATTGACAGTGCTTGCTCTACCCCATTCCCATTTCTCAAAGTTTCTGACTGTTAATCTTTTGCCGTGTTTCCTTCCAGAAATTGTGTATTTCTGTGTACACACATATTTTATTACCTAATATGTAATTTATGTCAGCACATAGAGAGTCACATTATTAAAAATTGATTAGAGGGGCTGGGGATGTGGCTCAAGCGGTAGCGCGCTGGCTTAGCATGCGTGCGGCCCGGGTTCGATCCTCAGCACCACATACAAACGAGGATGTTGTGTCTGCCAAGAACTAAGAAAAAAATAAATAAATGTTAAAATTCTCTCTCTCTCTCTGTCCCCCCCCTCACTCTCTCTTTAAAAAAAAAATTGATTAGATAGTGTTTCACTGTATTCATCTACCACAGTGTATTTAATGTCCTCTGGATGGATATTTCTGTTTCTTGTTTTTATTTTTTTGCTGTTTAAAGTAATGTTTGCAGTAATGGATTCAAGTTGGAGACATCAGTATGAATTCATATTTAGTTTAATGTAGATAAAGATGGTTATCTTTAAAATTCTTACAGATATGTACACGTAGTTGGGTTAGTGCAGACAGATGTGTTTTCTTGTTCTGCCAGATGAGAGTCAGGATGCACTGGTAGCAGTGAACACATCTAGCACCCAGAGCTGGGAACTAATACCATGAAAGGAACAGGGTTATTGGGAGAAATGGAAGATTCTAGAATGAGGAAAGAAACATACAAGATGAGCCTGAGGCATCTAGTAGTGCTCAAAACTAAGGAAGTGAACAAACTAATAACCCTACAGTGATGGGGCTGTCAGAGACACAGGAGCCAACTGAAGGAGCTTCCCGTGGGCAAAGACAGCACGATTTGAAAAAAAAATATTGTATTGTAACCCAAAGTATGAAATAAATATTTCTGAGTCAGTACTAATAGAAGTAATTCAATACATTAGCAGGGAGAAGAAACAAATTTCTAATGCAGAACAATTTCAAATAATTTATGTAGCTCCTCCCACTTAAAAAAGGTGTGGTCTTAACTCCCCCATCCTTAAGTGGGGGCTGTTCGCAGTGACTTCTCTCCAGAGATTGCAGCGTAAGAAAGGCGGAGTAGAGTAATTTCCATGGAAATCTGGCAGACGCTGCCTCAGTGAGGTGATGCTGGTCAACATCAACAGGGATAAGTCATGTGGATAACTCATGTCTTTGATACAGTATAATAAAAATGGCACTTTATCTCTGTGATTGTCTCCTAAAAACCTGTAAGCCAGTCTACCTGTCAAAGTCAAGAAATGCCTAAGGATATATGACATCTAAATACAATTCGGCATGTCTGATGGGATCCCAGAGCAGAGGAAGAGGAAATTAGGTAAAAACTAAGGAAACCTGAATAAACTGTGGACTTTAGTTCACAATAAGGTGTCACTGTGGGTCCATTAGTTGTAACAAATGTGCCATAGTAATGCTTATGTTCATGACAGGGGAAGACAGGGGCACTCTGTACTGCTGGCCCTCCAGTATCCATGGGTTCCACATCTGTGGATTCAACCAACTTCAGTTCAAAAATATTTGAAAAAAAAAATTGAACATGTACAGGTATTGTTTTTGCTTATGATTATTCCCTAAATAATACAGCATTCAATTATTTCCATGGCATTCATATTGAATTAGATATTGTAAGTAATCTGGAGATGATATAAAGAACGTGGGAGTGTATGTGTAGATTGTATGTAAATAGTACATCATTTTATATAAGAACATTTCCAGAGTTTGGTATCCACTTAAACCACCAATTCCCTGTGAATACCAAGGGATGATTTTACTATCTTTGAGTTTTTTTTATCTCTCTAAAGCTTAAAAAATTAAAGTTTACTAAAAATAATAATGCTGCATACATTCTTGTACATATATTTGTAATTACAATTGTAGGACAAATTCTTTTTAAAAACATCAATTTTTAAAAAAATTATATAATAGTATATATTCATGGGTAAAAGGGAAAATTTATCTATGGGTAGTAGGAAAAATTCTTAAAAGTGAAATTGAGGAATCTGAAACATTTAAACTTTGCCCTGCTTTACATTTTATTCTTACTTTTGTTTTTGTGGTGCTAAGAATGGAACCCAGGGCCTCATGCATGCTAGACAAATTCTGAAACACATCCATAGCCCTAGATTTTATTCTTTAAAGCTGTTACACAGCTAGACTTTGCTTTAAAATGTAAAACATATATAATTTTTGTTTTTTTCTTCCTTGCTGTGCTGGCTAAACATTTCAAACATACATTCTGAAGTTTTTATATGGTACCATGAAGAGTAATGTACAAGATCCTTTTAGTAACTTGGTTTTGTCTCATGACACAAATCTAGGTATGATTTCTGCTTGCAATGTGTGTTGCTCATTTAGGAGTCTTTTAAAAAAAGACTTATTTTGAGAAGTAGGTTTACATAAAAATTGATCTGAAAGTAGACAATTCCCACATATGTCCTCATTTCCCCTCAGCCCTATTTTTTCTATTAATATCTTGCTTTATTTAATGTGGTGAATTTGTTAGACCCGATAGGCGAATATTAATAAATTATTATTAGCTAAAGTCCAGTTTACATTAGGGTTCACTCTTTGTATTGTACAATTATGGGTTTTTACCAATATATGATGTACATACAAGTCTCATGCAGTATAGTACAGAATAGTTTCATTGTTCTAAAAATCCTGTGACCTACCCATTCATTGTTCCTTCCCCCAGAACTTGGGGCAACCACTGATCTCTCTTGTTTCTTGCACAGTTTTGCTTTTCCCAGAATCTCACATAGCTGTTTTCATACTAGATGTAGCCTTTTCAGATGAGCTTCTTTCACTTAACAATATGCATTGAAGTTTCCCCTCCGTGACTTGATGGCTCATTTATCTCTTTTTTTATCACTGAATAATATTTTGTTGTATGGATATACCACAGTTTGTTTTTCATTCACATCTTGAAGAACATCTTGGTTCCTCCCAAGTTTGAGCAATTATAAATAACGATGTTCTGAACATTGGTGAGTGGTGGTAGGGTATGAAATTAGTCTGTAGTTCTGGTTAGATCAGAATCCTCGGGTTGGGTTTTATGAGGCTGTGCTCCTGGACTGTGACCTCCCACTTCTGTTCAGCTCCCACTTCTCTAATTAGGTGGAACAGAAGCTGGAGGAGGCTGGACATGGACATTGCCCTGCCTTAAATCCATTAGACTCCAATACGGCTGTTTCTCTTGAGGCCAGGCTTTAAGAACAGAATGCCCCTGAGCATATTTCAGAATGGCTGCTTTCCTCCTCAGCCTGCCCTCTCTGATCTTCTCTGTACAAACCAGGCCAGGTTCTCAAAAGTAAAACCAACAAGTGTGCACCCCCACCCAGATACCCACTTTTAACTTTCACACTTGTCCAAACGGAGCCTCCAGCAATTTGTCAATTATAGCTTAGATTTTCCTGTCTTGCTATTGGTTTCTGAGGAGGTTTCTGCTCCTGGGATCTGTTCCCATAAATTGTGGTTGTCTGTATCTGCCTGTGGGTTCCTCTAATTTTGGGGGGTGGCCTTGTGACATTAGTTCTCTGACAGACCTAAGAGGAGTTGTTGATTTTCAGCATGTTCTGCTTTTTTTTTCCTTGTGAGAAAGAAGTGATTTATAGGGTCCTCACATGCCAGATTAGAAATCCGACATATATGTATTTTAAAGATACTCCGTTTCCTTCTTTTCTGTTGGTTAATTTGAAGCCATTAATACAGTTTTGTGGCGAGTACTTCTTAATCATCATTACTTCATTAACACCAGATTGTATGTTCTACCAAGTATTGAGTGAATTTCTGTTTTGCCATAATTTCTTTTCAGATATGAAATCTGTTACCTTTGTTTTTTGATCAGTTTTTTTTCCAGCAGTGTTTTTCCCAGCTTTTATAATGATTTAATTAACAAGTGAGGTATAAATGACTTCTCTTTCTACTCTGGCTTTAAGAGGAGGACCCATTGGGATGTGTGCAGAAGGGAATCTAGCCCTAATTGAACACCGTCTTTTGTGACTCATGTCCTCATTCCCCATTAGTAACATTTCAGGGCTCCCAGAGTCTCAAAGGTACAGACTCAATGAATGTAAAGCTACATTAGAAGATCTCATGAGGCAGTGTTTCTCCAGTTACATTTGGTGGCTATTTAAAGTTTCATTTTGATTAAGGATTTCCATGTAACATAGGATGCAGAAGACCTATAGGGAGGAGAGTATGTGCTCTTTCATGAGTTGCTGGTGTGAAGCCTTAGTCATTCTTCCTTCCTGCTCAGTTTATCAAATGCCTGTTATATGTCAGGCATCATGTGGATGTGGGTGTCTGGATGAATGAAGGCACTGTTTTCACCCTAGAGGATTATTTCCGACTTAGTGCTTTATTGCATTGTGCACAGTTATGCTCAGTACTGTCTTCTTCCCTGAATGACTTTGGGAATCAAGAGACAGGTTCTGCTTTCAAAAACTGTGGGATTTGATTTCTCTGTGGATTTCTGTCTTCCTTTGTAAAATGGGGATGTTAATATTTGGCTCAATTGTTTCGCATCACAGATTCGAGTGGACATAGCCTTTCATTCAACATAGGCAAGAACTCTGTGTTTGGTATTTTGCACAGGCATAGTTCAGTCAGTTGGGTGGAAAGAAAGGTGAGAAAACAACCTATATGCAACTAATTTATGATGGCTGTGTGTAGGGGCTCTAACAGAGCTTCAGGTTTAGTTCCTGTATCCAAGATGCTTACTTTGTATTTTTAAAAATTTGGAATATTTGCATAGACATTACTAGTTGAGTATATCTAACAAGAAAATTTTAAGTCCAAAATGTTCCAAAATCTGAAACTTTGGTGCTCAAAAGTTTCATATTTCAGAGCATTTCCAGTTTCTGATTTTTGGAGTAGGGCTGCTTAACCTATATGAACAGGGCCTTCTGGTGTTAAAAGAGAAGTGCTGACTTTGCCTGAGATACATGAGGAGAGCCTCTTGGAAGACCTGCATTGCAAGGAAGGAGATGGGGAAGACCTTGCAGGCAGAAGAGAAAACATTTGCAGAGGCACCTATGTATGAAAGGTCTTACAGGATTCAGGGAAGCCCTGGACTCTGGGTGTGATGGAGTAGCTTGTGGTGGACTCTGAGACTGAATGGCAGGCAGTCAAGTGGGTTCCAGATTGTGAAGCTAAGGTTTTGGAGGTTTTAAACAAGAAGATGGAATAAGGATTTTTTTTTGTCAATATGCTGACCACCCACTGTGTAAAGAACAACTTGGGATAAAGTGAAGGTAGAGCTGGATTGGAGGGTTTTGTTAATATTGAGGGTCTGAATTGGGACAGAGATCCTGGCTACAGAGGAAGGGCAGATTGGAGAGACATTTTTAGATATAGGAGTTTGATGCTGTGTAGGTAGAGGGAAGTGGACTCAAGGGAGACCCTGTGGGTAGTAGCTTGGGGGCTGGGTGGAAGGTGACGGTGACACCAGTGAAGGAGACCCTGTGTGCTGGAAGCAGGAAGTTTGAGTGAAGGGGGATTGCTGAGTTTACTTTCTAACATGTTGAGTTGAGGCGCTTATAGGACATCAGGACAGAGATGTGCAGAAGAGTACTGACCAGTAGAACTTTCTGCTGTGTTAAGAAGGTTCTGTGTCCAGTGTCCAGAGTGGTATCCAGTAGCCACACATGGATGTTCAGCACTTGAATTGTGACTAATGAACCTAAAGAACAGAACTTTACATTTTAATTGATAAATATTTAAATGGCTCCTGGTGGCCAGTGGCTGCCTTATTGGACAGTGCAGATTTACAAAGTGCTAGTTGGAAATGCTGGTCTGGAGATACCAATAGAGGTAGTCAGTCAGTCCACATGGGACTGAGAAGTGTGCAGGGATGTTGTACTTTCAGTGCTAAAATGGACAGTCCCAGGCAAGCCATGAAGGTTGTTAACTCTCGCCAGAGGCATTGTTATTGACTTGTGGTTATGGACTTTAGTTGTCACATTTTTTTAAACAAATACGTCTACTCAGCTGCCTCCTGAGCTGACTGTTTCATGATTTGCAGCTTGGAATGAAAACTCCTTTTCTTGGTATTAGGGAGTTAGAAAATGGAAAACCAGCATGGTTCTGGATACACGTGCTCTGCCTGCTATTCTCCTTGTTTTCTCCACCATCTTCCTTTTTCTTCCATTCCGTACAGTTATGTGGGGTTCCCCACCCTGGCTACACATTAGAATTACCTGGGCACTCAATTCTCAAGAAAAGCAAAGGGTGCCTGAGCCCCACCTAGACGAGTCACAGCAGAATCTTGGTGTGGGAGGTGAGGGGCCTGGAGTCTGTGTGACTGCAGTGCTGCCCAGCCCAATCTAATGTGCAGCAGGATTGAAAAGTATGTCCCTCAGATGTGCTTCCACTGCTTTGTAGCAAACATTTCTTTACAACAAATGATTCACACTTGATCTTTAACCCCTTTACCCCTCCCTTTATTTGGTGAAGGATGATGGTGCCCTGGGTTTCAGATTTTTCCAGTTGGCCATCTTTATGGGCCCTGTGGGACAAAAGTAACCCAGGATATCAGGGCAACCTGATCTCTTTTGTCATGCACTCAGGATTTGATGTACTTTACTGTTTGGCAATAACCATTGCTAACATGTGTGGAACACTTCATGTGCCTAGACACACATGTTAACTCTTCTCTTAATAACAGCTTTGTGGGAGACACTGTTATCAGATGAGGTACCCCGAGACTCTGAGAGATTAACTGACTTTTACCAGCTCCTAGAGCCTATGAGTGCCCAGCTGAAAGTAGGCTGTACATTTTAATGACTGTCCTAGATGACCCTTTGGTATAGTGACATTTGTTATACCTGTATACCTAGGAGATGAAGTCTCCCCAAGCTGTGCGGATCAATCCAGGATTGGAGGATCTCTGTTATCAAATCACTTAAATTGTGCAAGCTTATTATTTAAAATTTGCAAACTCTGAGCCAGTCCTGAAATAAGAAGAAACCCTATGACCCCTAGCAATGCTGTCCGCCAAAAAAGGTCTGAATAATAGTATAGGTCACTTCAGTTTTCACAAGTTTTGCTGAGGATGGGGTTACCCGTGTGTCCCCTTGATACTTGTGTATATGCATTGTGTATATGCACGTATATGTATTATTTATGGCAGCAAACTTGGTTTTTAAACCCCAAATACATGCTTTGTTGTTCTTTTATGCCCATTTCTCAGTTATCCCCTGCTTGGTGCCAAGTGGTTGAATTCTTAATACTTTCCTTTCCTTGCATCTTGCTTTTTTTTTGTTTTTGAGTCTCATGTAGTCACAAGAAAGCATATTTTCTGTGTTTTGCACTAAAATGTGATAGGTGAAGGGTTCTTAATTAATGCTTTTAATAAAGAGCCAGTAATTGAGAGTTTACAATGTTTCATCTGGGTTCTATTGGCAATATAATGGAAGAATAGTATGGGTGTTTTAAAAAGGCTTTCAAAGCCATTATCCGATGTTTTAAATAGAAAAAAATTTCTTAATGTCAATATGAGATTATGGTTTTATAAGCCTTTATTGTTTGTGCGGAGGTCTATAAAGTAGGGCACCAATAATAGAGTGTTAAATCAATTTTGGTTTTTCAACTTCATCTACAGATACTCTTAAATGTCAAGTAATCTAAATCAAAGTCTCTTAATAAAATATTTTTGTATTTATTTTTTTGAAGCAGTATTAGATATATTAATAAGATTCGGAACCATGACCAATGGCAGAAGTGGATGTTTGTAGAATCTCTTTCTTAGTTAAAAGGGGGCCCATCTCATTGATTTTTAAGATCCAAGGACACTTTAGTTTTTCCTCAGTGGTGGGGGCATGTGTGGTGGGGGCTGATGAGGGGCTGAAGTGTAAAGGGCTTCAATCTGAGATCAGTCAAATCTTTTCTGTTGAAAATATAATTGTTTTCAGAGTGCTCTTATCTCTATGGATATACATTCAGAGCTGTTTAGTGGGCTATCTAATGTTCAAGGATTTGGGGGTGTGGGGGGCTTTAATAAAGTTGACATTAATTCTTACTTCTTGTTTACGGGGTGCTAATAAAACTTCTGGACATTGCTGGTGTAATCTCATAAACGTGGGATTAATAAATGCCCTTGATAAAGACCCAGTGATTGGGAGTTTGCAGTGTTTCCTGTGGGTAGAATTGGCAGTATAATGGAAGATTAGCATGCATGTTTTAGAAAAGCTTGCAAAGCCATTATCGGATGTTTTAAATGGAAGAAGTTTAGATTAGATGTTAAGATTTAGGTGCTGCCATCACTGCAAGTTCTCTGAACCTGTAGGATCACTTGAAAAGGCAGAGTGCCCTTTCCCATGTTGATTGTTTATTTCTGGGATGTTCTCTGCTCCAGTACTTAGAATCACACAATCATACATTTCTAGAACCAGTGACCACATTATCTGGAATGTTCTTGAAGCCATTTTTTATTTCTGTCAGATTGTTCGTAGAGATAGGAAGTTTTTTTTTTTTTTTAAAAAGAAAAACAGAATTTTTTAGGAGCTAAATCCCAATTAATTTTTTAAAAGATGAATGTCTAGCCTGATAATCCACTGGCTTTGTGGTTGGGGTAGCTGGGGTAGGTGAGAAGCAGTTCTAGATTTACCTTAGATGTTCTGTTCCCTCCATGATCTTAGGTGGTTGCTCAAAACTTTGTCTCAGGTTTACCTTGAGGATACCTAAGAATGGGGTTTTTGCTAAAAGTTGAATGAAGGGGTTTAGTGATTTTATTTTTCTAGCTACAGGGAATTTTCAGTAGGGAACTGTTTTTCCCCCCACATAGTTGGAAATACGTCTGATTTACACGTATTCCTGACTCCGTGAACTGAGCCTGGCAATTCCTGGTGGTGGCTTGGTGACTGCCAGTCTTGCCTGGAAATGGTTGTTCTTAGCCAGATGTTCATGGGGTCAACTTTTTGCTCTGGAGAAAGCTGCTACGTGGCATTGAAAGGTATGCTTCATTTTCTAGAGGTCCATTCCCAAATAAACCTCTTGGTTGTGACACCACAGACTCAGTGTTGGAGGAACTTCCCGGAACACCTCCAGAATCTTTTCACAGGACAGGGTGTTGAGCATGGAGGAGGAGGAGCGGCTTGCCCTGGGGCACTTCTGGCTCTCACCTTCCTAATGACCCAGAACCCATGTTTTCTTCTTTACACTCCAAAGCAGAAGCCCTCCTGGTTTCTTCTCCATTCTTCCCAGCCTAGTAAAGAGCCGGTGGGGTTAGTTGGGTTCTTGGGTTTTCCCACAGCAAACTTTCCTCTGAGTTGTAATGTTGCTTTCCTTTTTCTTTTAGCAATAGGCGAATATGAAGACCTCAGAGCAGAGAACCAGAAAACAAAGGAGAAGGTTTGTACTTTACCCTTTTCTTCCCTTTTCTTCCATGTGTGAAAGCCTAGGCAGCGTAGTGTATTGTTCAGCCACCAATTTCAGTTAAATGTGAATGAGGGTTTTTTTTCCCCCTTCTTTTCTCTTGCATGTGTGGTTCAAGCTAATATCAACTCCAGGCTCCAGATGGTAAAGAATAGCAGGCATGCCACAGTAGGCGCAGCTCTGGGAGATTAACGACACAGCTAAATGTGTGGTGAGGCACTGGGCCAAGCGAGTGAGTCCCCAAGAATTGCACTTTTTCCTGACAGTCAGATTTGTGATTCTAGGGATGAAATTAAAGGCCTGGGACATTTGCCTTTAGGACCTAGACATGTAAGATCCTGGAGAGAACTCCATGGAATTGGTGCTTAGTGGTTAGCCCAGAAACCTGGCTGCCATAAACCTGCTGTATAGATACTTCTTCTGCCTGTGTGAATAATATGAGAGAAGTCGAAAAGCACCCAGTGTGAAGAAGGGAAACCTGGTGAAGGGGAAGTCTGGCAGTTTAATTTTTTAACTGTTAAGTAGCCGAATTCTTTATAAACTGTATCCATTTGACTCTAGCAATGTCCATATAAGATTTGAAAATGTTTGCTGATATCTGTCTGTGTATCCATCCGCCCACACATGTGCATACCTACATATACACATACACATATACATACATGTGTGGCACCTACATATACACATACACACATATACATACATGTGTGGCGTGTATGCATGTGTGTATGTGTATGTCTGTAGCCCCTTATAAATTTAAGGGAGGACAAATAGAAGGTCAGAAAAGTAGAGGGAGTGAGTAGAAAATGAAAAATAAGAGGTAGCAAACAGTATTGTCTGTGGTTGTTTTTAGATATAAATGAAATTTGCTTTTAAAAATTATTTTTTTTTGTGTAGACCAACTATTTTAAATCATTATAACCCTAGTGGGAAATTAATAAAAAAGGTCTGTAGTGGTTATTAAATAAGAAGGGTAGTTGTCACTACTATAAATTATGAAATCTCATCATTAAAATTTCAGAGTAACATTGTAATAAAAATTGGTAGTGAGCTAAATAGTTGTAAACCTTGTGGCTTATTTGGTATTATTTATTGGGCCATGGAGAATCGTGTTTAACTGTTTCACTCATATTAATTTGCCACCTTTAGTTGTGGTGTGGTCAGTGATATTAACAGTAAGTACTCTGTTTCAAAGCAGGTTATAATAGATTTTTGGATAATTACTTTCCACCTACTTTTAAGGGTCCTTTGTTCTTTTATAAGTTAACCCCTGGTGGTCTGTGAAATCTCAAGTTTCTTCTCTTTCCTTCATCATACAATTCAGGGAATGCTAGGTGGGGATGACTAAAATGTCCGTGATAAAAGTGGCTGGTCCTCACCTCTGTGTTAAGGGAAGCGTCCATAGAAATTGGCTTGGCCAGATATTTCTACTTCCCTCACCATAACCACCCTAGTAATAGATGTCCTGAACGTATCAACAGGTGAAGAGGGTGTGCTTGATCTGGCATGCCTGAAGCCTGATAATTTCAAAACACATGTACTGCATGGTGCTTAGATGAGATAGCTTGATCCTCTTTCATGAATTACCCATCCTCCCACTAGGGAGGAGAAAGAGGCTGCCAAGTCGTCAGCTCATGGAGTCTTGCTTAGCTGCTACTGGCCCTGGAAGGGTGAGAGCAAGGCAAGTTGGGAGGTGGTTGATTCAGAAGAACACTCTGACACACCCCAGGAGACGTGAGGGACAAAGCAAACCCGTGTCTTCATGTGGTAGAGAAAGAAGGATGCAGACAGAAGTCAGTAACAGAGGAATGAGAAGACTAAATCATAAATCATTTTAGCTTTATCTTTTCTTCTTCCTTAATCCTTACTATGTAGACCTAGCAGCACCCTAAAAATAGGAGGTGCTCTGTAAGCATCTCTTGTTGGTGGTGGTGATGGCTGTTTAACTGAGAGCCACTTTCTGCAGGGAGGTTTTAAGTGAGCCGTCTGTTATGCAAGTGGAATTATAGGTAAAATGCATTTGGTCAAAGAAGGATTATACGTTAGCCCAGCCCATTAACTGTTTACATGCGTCTCTGTGCAGAGTGTGGCCTAATACTTTTGTAACATCTGTAGGCATTGTTGACCTGCTTCTGTCCTAATTCTTAAAAATAACTATTAACAGAAAGGGGAAGAAAAGAAATGAAAGCAATAAGGAATGCTGTGTGGTTGGGTAAAACAAAGTAGAGTGGTTTTAAGTTCACTGCACTCTGTTTACCTCCTGTTAAAAGACTAGCTTGCTTATTACTGCAGATTTTTTTCCCCAAAAGGGGGGCCGTGTTACAAAGGAGGGAAGCATATAATAAAAGCCTTTTATACAACATAGAATGAGTAAAAGCAGCTTTAGTTCCGGAGGTGGTAAATGGAGGACACCATTTTCTCTGGGAAAGCACTTTCTTGTGCCGGGCTGGGGGAGCTTTGTGCTGTCCACTTCAGGAAAGACAAGCCGCCATCTTTGTCTGATGGCCCCCACCTAGAGTCCAGTTAAATCTGTCAGGGATAGCCTTCTAGAGTAAGGCTTGTTTTTTTTTTTTTCCTTTTTGCCGTATTTAATTCGATATGGGGAAATTCGGCAGGAGTAGGGGAAAAGAAAAATAGATGGCAAGGTATTTCTCCCTTCCATGTATTTCTGTTAGGTCTGATTATCTTAGCTGCCAGGCAGGAGCCTTGTCAATTGGAAGAGGCAGTGGATGTGACTCCTTTGGGTAGGGTCTTCTTGCCTGATTTGGGTCTTCTCTGTTGAGGCAAGTGTCAGGATCCATGGTCTTCAGGGAAGGCAGTTGCTTATGAGGTTGTTTATTAAGAAGCCATTGTGGGACATCTGTCCTCCTATCTCCCTCATCTAATGCACCAAATAGCCCCATTTGGCTCCATTTCATCCGTGCATGAATTGGACCTCAGCTGGAGTGAGTTTCCTGAGGTCAAACAGGTAGGTAGTGTCAGAGACAAGATTCAAACCTGGGTCTTCCAACACAGTGCTCTCTTACAAGCAGGTAAACTGATGGGAGCAAAGTGACTCATTTCCCACAAAAGTCCTCATTTTATTCTTTATCATTGGTGTGTGAATTTCCCACAGCAAATTGTCAGACTCAGTACTTTTCTGGGTCATGTGCCTTTACCATTCATCAGTTTGTGTTGAAAAATTGAAAAATGAAATCAGTCTCATGTCAGAAGAATTCGGGGTGTGTGTGTGTGTGTGTGTGTGTTTCTGTATTTCTGTCTCCCTCCCTCTTTTGCAGGATTCTGACTAGTAGCAACAGAATGTTGACGATTTTATGGTTTTTATCAATAACTTTAAGGATGGAATCAGATTCTGTTTGAGTTTATAAGGAAAGCTTTTTTGAAGGAAAACCTTTCTGTCAGATGCCTTCTGAGCACCAAAGTATAACGAAAAATACATGAATGTTCTACTCTTGAGTTAAAACTCTGTCCAGGGCACAGACAAGTTGACAAGTATTCATGATGAGCTAGCAGTCATTGTATAAGCAGGTGTCTGGAGCCTGGTGGTGGAATGGAATAAAACATAAAAAGACAAGGTTTCTGTTCTTCCCAAGTGACAAAATTGGGTCAACTTGAATGTTTGGATTATATGTCACTTATTTTTTTTTTTTAAAATCTCTTCGAACTCTCTCAAAAGCAGAATTAATTGCTTTTTATAGTAAAACATCTGCATATTTCTTATATACTTGTCACATTTATCAGCCAGAATTCATTATTATCAAAATATTAAAAAGGTTCTAAGCAGTTGGTTCAGGTTGCCTTAAAGTATAAAAAAATCTTGAGACTTTTGTGTTTTAACATCAAGGTAAGTGGGAATTGTGAAAGAGTGCTATTTGCTACTTTTACCATTAATTTTTGTCCATTTTCTAAGTAGCATCATCAATTGTACATGAAAAAATCAGAGAGCCTATCACATTGAAGGCAGCAACTCTTCTAAGTCTGTATTTGGGGGCCTGGCAAAATAGATGATGATATATTTAGAATCAACCAAATAAAAGTGTGTCCCTTTGCTTGTGTAGCAGTCACCATATTTAAATGTCAGCCATGCTTTTACAATTGAAGGGCATTCTCTTCTGACTCACTCAGCATCTTTGTCATAATCCTCTGGGTTTTTTGCTTATATGGGGGAAAAGTCCTATTGGGCTTTGAATGGAATGGCTTTCACATTTCTCAGGGTGGCGGGGGTGTGTGTGGAGTGTGCAGAGAAAGAAGGAACTCTGTATAATAGAAGAATGTCTGTCGTTAAATAGTAAGTATTTATGTTTAATATTATGTTCAGAGATCGAGTTTTGAAATGCATAAATGTTTAAGTGGCTGATTAGGAGCCGTTTGGGTGAGCTGCTGTACCAGTGCATCAGGAGGCTCTGTCAGCTTGCCAGGAACAATGACTGAAAAGGGAATGAGGCAGACACTTTCCAAGAGTTGTGTTTCAAGAAGCAGGCTATATGATAGTGTTTGCGTGTTGGCTCAGTTGTCTATTGTTAAAATTTCTTCCTCTTGTGTAATATTCAGAGGTGAAGGTCCCAAAGTATTTTATTTAAAAAAAAAAACCCATAAAGAAGCCACTTTAAAGAACAAGATATGCATCCATTATGCTAACTATTCATGCATAATACATCCACATACATGCAGTTTCTTTGAGACAGAGTGGCAAGTGGTTGTGCCAGAGAAAAAGTAATTACTTAGCAGTTTGAAAGTGAAAATGAGTCTCTTATTAACAGCAATCTATCCAGAAACAAAGAGCAAGGATCTCAGTTCTGATGACATGTGTTTCCATCTAACACACAAGACCTAGAATTTGGAGAATGCTGTGAGACAGCTTGGGGGGACAGCTACTACTTCTTTATTGCCTATGAAAATTGGAGGGAAAGAACTTTGAATTGGAAGAAAGAACACCAAAAGAGAAAGAGAGTAAAAGGAATTCCATGCTAGTGGGAATGATTTAATGTCTCACATTCTTTAAGGATACACCTGTAGAAATCCAGAAAGCACAGTTGAGTACTAGCCAGACTTACACAGGTGGAACAGTAGAAGTGTCAGTTACTAAAAATGTTTTGATGGTCCTCTCACCGCATTACCAAGGATTCTAAAAGCAAGTAAATAGGTAATTCTGCATAATTCTGATGCTATGCATGTTTACAATTTAAAATATGGTAACCGGATATGAAAGAAGTGGACTGCAAGAGAGATGGCCTAGGGTTGAGACCTCTCCATACCCAGTGCCATTGCTTTTGCTCTGTGTTCCTACAGCAGTGTGGCATTTTTCTCGTTTTACCAGGTGTCCTCACAAATTGCTTGTTTTATTGTTGGTCTCTTGGTAAAGATATGCTTTATGAGCACACAGTGTCTGTGGGGTTCCACACTCCTCTCAGTGCTTAGCACAGTGCCTGGCAGGTATAGGTTTGGCATGAATTTGTTCAGTGCTCTGAGGACTGAAGTCCAGATATTCAATAATCACAGGTGGCATGTGATTAGAAGTTCAATTCAGTCAACTGTAAGGTATTTGTATATAGATTGTCCCCTCTTGGTGATGTTTGCAGGCAGGTGCGTGTATCTGCTTCTTGGGTCGCAAACTGTCCTGTCTAGAAGATGGCAACCTTCCATTGCATTGTGTACCAGAAAGATAAAAATGAATTTTATAGTAACTAAAATTAGACACAATTGAGAATGTTGAAGGTTTTTCTTGCATAAAATATATACAAAGCAAAAGATAAAGCTGTCTTGCTACTATCTGTATCAGTTATCTGTGCTTCACCTGAGCCCTGGTAAACAGCCACTTTAGTGTTGGCAATAGTTGGATGATGGTCGAGGGGGAAAGAACTGAGTAGCCTATGGTGGAGGGGGGAAAGTACGGAGATGCTAGTTCACACCAGAGGGACTTTGCTCTGCACAGCAGCCTGCCAGCACTCTGAGATCCTGGTTTGGTTTTATCTGCCTGGATGAGGCTCAAAGAAGAGATATGGAAAATAGCCGGAGCTTCTGATATTAAGGATTTTCAAAACTAGCGAGGCCAATGTTTGGTCAATTCACTACTCCACAGAGAGCCAGAATTGAAACTCTAGAATAGCTGTAGAGTTACCCAGCTTGCTTAAACCAGCCAGCACTCACGCTGCTAAGTCTTACCCCAGCCTTGAGCTGCAGAGAATTGTTGGGCATCCTAATTAAATGACGTGGGCCCAGGAACATCTGTTGCTTTTGCAAAGTCTTCATGAGCAATTCTCAACACAAAAAGAAGCAGTTTTTACAGATGGTGCAGCTGCATGGGCAGGGCAGAGCAAAGGGTGGGATGGGTGAGGGGCCTCTGTGTGGCAGAAAGATGCATCTCTACCAAAAAGACCCCTAATCTTTGCTAACTTCTCCCTGTTTATAGAATGATAGATTGCAAGAGATGTTTCTGGATCTACCTAAAATGAAATAAGTGGGTGTTTGAATTCTTGTTTAGCAAATGGGTACATCTTTCATATTTTGATCAGTTCTAGTTTGGAGTAAGTGAGCTGCATTTGTAGCATGTGTAAACTCACCCCCCCCCACACACACACCCTTTTCAGCATAGCAGATGGTAAATTCTGTGACTGCCAGTTCTATCATAATGTGGTTGCAGAAAATAGAAAGCAAAGCAATATGAAGGCCCCTGATGGAACACAGCTGGGCTTAGGGGGAGACCATGTGAATCTGTTGGTGTTAAGTAGAGGGCTAGTGTGAGCTGGACTGCAAAACTGCTTACCTGCATGGCAGCCTGAGACTGATGTGGAGACCTGTTATTAGCTAGAGCCTGTCTCCCTGGGCCTTATGAGTAGAGAGCATAGACAAAAAGTCTGTCTTCTGGGTAACTGGTACCCGCCTGTCTGAGACGACCAGCAAATGGTAGCTGTGTTGGTGGCTGGTGGTTGGTCTGTTTGTTTGTTTTTCTTAGCTGTTCATGTCTCTTTTTAAATATTTTTTATTATTTTGTAATTTGCTCTAATTAGTTAAATATGAATGCACTTTGATACATCATACACAGATGGAGTATAATTTCTCCTTCTTCTAGTTGTACATGATGTAGAATCCCACTGGTCATATAGTTATATATGTACATAGGATAATAACATCTTGATTCATTCTACTATCCTTCGTACCCCCATGCCCTCTCTCCTCCCTTCACTCCCCTCTACCTAATCTAAAATAACAATATTCTTCTCTATCCCCTCACACCCCTTATTGTGAATTAGCATCCACATGTCAGAAAAAACATTCAACCTTTGTTTTTTGGGGATTGACTCAATAAATGAACCAAGGAAGTGAACAGACACTTCATAGAAGAAGAAATATGGTTGATCAATAGATATATGAAAAAGTGTTCAATATCTTTAGCAACTAGAAAATGCAAATCAAAAACTACTCTAAGATTTCATCTCACCCCAGTCAGAATGGCAATCATCAACAATAAATATTGGTGAGGATGTGGGGGGAAAGGCACACTCATACATTGCTGGTAGGACTGCAGATTGGCGCAACTCTTATGGTGAGCAGTATGGAGATTCCTGTTTATGTTCTTGTCATGCAGTCTTAGTGATAATTCAAGCTATGTGAGATTTGGATGAACCTCTGTTTCCTTCAGAAGAACCACTATCAAACACCAACTCTTGGATGATGGCAGTTTTCACAGGGCATCCCACGCTTTCAGAAATGCCAAATTAATTCAGGAGTAAAACAGAAAATTAACACAAAATTAATCCAGAAGTTATACAGCAGATATAGATATTTCATCAGCACTCATGACTCAGGCCCTTGAGTCCAGTCACAGGTTGAAGATTTTTGTGCCATTCATCCCTAATCTTTTCCCTGTCCTAGAGTACAGCTTCTGTCATAAATTTTATATTTATCCTTCTATTTCATGCTCATATATTTTTGTATATACCATACATATCAAAATATATGTACATATAATATAAATATATGAAATCTTTTTGTGTGCTGAAGACATCATTTGATATGTGTTCTGTTACTCCTTTTATTAAGCATTATAATATACGTGTTCGTGTGCGTATATATGGCTTTAAGTTATTCGTTTTCACTGTTCTATAGTGTATTTTGTGAATATACCAAGACTGTCATTATTAGAAATGCGGAACATTTTGCAGTCCCAGTGGCTAAGGAGGTTGAGGCAGGAGGATCACTAGTTCAAAGCTAGGCTCAGTGAGGCCCTAAGCAACTTAGCAAGATCCCTTTCTCAACATAAAAAATAAAGGGTTGGGGATGTGGCTCAGAGGTTAAGCACCCCTGGGTTCAATCCCTGGTATTTAAAAAAAACAAACAAAAAACCTGAACATTTTCGTACAGTTCATCTTGTAACATGGCTGGAAATTCTCCAGGTGTAGACACCTGGAACAGCAGTGCTGACTCAGAGGGGATGTGTGTTATCAATTTTGATAGAATATTATTTCCAAAGTAGTTATCCTAATTTATACATACAGCAGAATATGAATTGCCAGATTTTAGAATGCTCAAGTGCTCAGATTTTTTTTTTTTTTAGTTTTTGCTAAAATGATCTCACTATTTTAATCTGGATTTGTCATTATTAGTGGCATCATAATTTTCAAATCATTGGAATTTTAAATTTAAAAACGAGTTGAAATCCCACTGTATTTATTTGACGTGTTAGTCATCAAATGCGTCTTAAAATTCTGCTTTATTTATTTGGTTCTTTTAGGGAATTAAGTATTCTCAGGAAATTCAGTTTTTTCCTTGCGGCACTGGGCCTTAAACCCAGGGACGTTTTCTGTTGAGCTACATCTCCAGTCTTTTTTATTTTTAATTTTGAGTCAGGGTCTTGCTATTAGACCAAGCTGGCCTCAAATTTATGATCCTCCTGCTTCAGCCCCCAGTTGCTAGTGTGTACACCATGCCAGGTAAAAAATCATTTTTAAATTATTATCCTGATAACTAAAAGTTGCTTTTTAAAGTTTCAGGTAGTTTTGATAAAAATATCTCTAATCATGTCTTCCCTGTTTCATGTAACTCAGGGTGAACTGAATTCAATTCTCATAATGACTTTTTGATTCCTAAAAATATCACTAATGCCATCCTGGGCTGTTGAAACAGGAGATATTTGTTTCTATACAACATGTCTAAAAGATTGTCACGTTTTAATAGTTATTTTTGCCTTTTATGGTCTTGTCCCTCAAAGTCTTTTCAAGGACTTCTCTCACCTTTTTGAATTAAAAACCAGTTTTATAAATGATACATGCTTATTGTGAACTAAGTTTATCTTCTCTCCTTTGCTACCTTGCAGCCAAAATACTGGGGGGTTGGGAGGGGGCATGGCATGTCGTGTTTTCCTGGGTGAGAGTGTGCAAGGGTGTGTGGCAGCACCTTGCCTTCATTCAGTTCTATCTCCGTTGGTCCCCAAGAGTATAGCAGTGAGCTGGGTTGCTGAACCCATGGGGAACTCAACTTGTGGATGAGCAGGGTGTTGGCTGCCAGGGGCACCTGAGAAAGATGCACACTCCCACAAAGTGGCACAGTGGAAGGGTCTTTGCTAGCATGTGCTACACCCTGGGTTTGATCCCCTAATCTGGGGAAAAAATGGTACAAACATACCTACTTAAAAAGAAGTGCAAACATTCTCTACTTAAAAAGAAGTGCAAACATTCTCTTAAAGAACGAGTACACTTTAACTCAAGGATATTAAATTGGTCTGTTACTGAGGAGATAATGAGCCATAGGGTGACTCATTATCTTAGAAGGTCTAAGAAAATTGGACAGTTCTGTGCTGGTTGAGCCGAACAGCCATCTTGTACTATTGGTGCTTTTTAAAGATGTTTTGTTTTGTTTTGTTTTGTTTTCAGAAAATTGTTGCTGCCTTGTTCACCTTTCCAAACTTAAAATTTATGATATAAATTTAACATTTTTTTTCTCATTTCAGTGTGACAAAATTAGGCAAGAACGAGATGAAGCTGTTAAAAAACTGGAAGAATTTCAGAAAAGTATGTAAGCACTTCAGTGGAATTATTATGCATATATACCTATTTTTGTATTATGTGAGTAGAGATATATAATTAAAATTGTCTTTCCATTTGCCCAAAAGGTGCCTTGACATTACTGGGATCTTTTTTTTAAAACATTTTTTAGTTGTAGATGGACACATTTCCTTTATTTTTATTTATTAATTTTTTTACGTGGTGCTGAGGATTGAACCAGTATCCTCACACGTGCTAGGTGAGTGCTCTACCACTGAGTCATATTCCCAGCCCATATTACTGTGATCTTTAAAGAAATGGAATAGTATTATTATTTTATGAGGGCATTATTATTATAGTTTTAGTAGAAAATCTTACTGTACAAAAAGTTAAAAGAGAAAAAATTACTTTGTTACATTGGCTACTTGAGAAAAGCTAATGTTACCATTTTATAGTCTTGTCCTTCCTGTTTTTTTTTAAATTTGTGTAATATGTTTATATCAAAATGCATATTTTGCATTTGGTCTGGTGGCCTACTTTTCTCAGTAGACAGTACGTTATCACATTTGCATGTCGGTAGAGCTGTACATTTTAATTGTTGCCCATAGCATTCCATCATATAATGGTACCATGTTCTTTCATTAATAGATTATTTATGGGTTTTAACAAATTAATGTCATGGCAAGTACACAAAGTACACAGCTTTATAGTAATCTGATTAGTTTCTTAGGTTAATTCTTAGAAAGGAATTATGTTGGAGATTTACTCTGCATCTTTGTGGCTATAACTAAAAATACTGTGTTATATACTTAGAATGTACTAAGAGGATAGATCTTATGTTAAGTGTTCTAAGTAAATCATAGGGGTTGGGGTATAACTTAGTGGTAGAGTGTTTGCCTAGCGTGCATGAGGCATTGTGGTGGATGGATGGATAGATGGATGGATGGATGGATAGATAGAGTGGGAGGAGACTGTGGGAGGTAATAGATGTATCTAGGACTTAATGGTGAGTGATGGTTCATGGATGTGTATACTTGCCCCTAAACTCATCAGGCTATATACATCAAATACGTATAGCTCTTTACATGTCACTTAATGCTTTAATAAAATGGTTAAAAAAAGAGAAAAGCAGTTATAGGGTCACAGAGCTTAGGTATGTTTAAGAGTTTGAATGTTTGAAATAACGCTTTCACCAACCAAGGAAAGTTATGTTCCCACAAAAGTAATAATAATATTCTTCTAAATTTTTACTATTATTTTTTTATGTGACATAAATCTGTTATTTATTCCCTAAGATAGAACATAGCCAATCAGACCCAGAAGTGTCAGATGGAAATATGTCTCCGGGAAAGAGCCAGACAGTAGCAGGGAAAGTGACCCCCTTCCTTTGGAAGCAAAGGCTTTCTCTGTCATTCTGCTGATGCTATCTCAGTCAGGTTATTTGATTATATCATAAAGTGTTGACTTGGTAACGGCACTTCAAAACATTAGACACTTCTGGAAGGTAAAACAGCCATAAAAATGCAGCATTATAGTTAAATTTCAATAACCACTTTATTTCAGCATCTGACTACAAGAAAGAAAATCTGAGGGTAATCTTGCGGGTATAACCTATCTTGGGAGGCTGGTATGCTGTGATAGAAATACCTCTTACTTGTGAATGCATGAATTGCAGTTGCACGTGACTTTCTCCTTGGCTAGTGCAGGATCAGTGGGGTATGCTTACACTGTGCTGGCACCCATCACCTCTGAAACAGTGATCCCACTGGCATTGTTACCAATTAATGTACTTGAATTATTGATAGAGGATTGGAGTATTGTGTACAGTGGGGATAGTTCAAGTTTCCTATGATTGGATTTATCACAAAAGGTTTTGATCCAGATGATGGTAAGGATTTTGCTTCTTGCATTATGCAAAAATGGAAGCAAATCCCCCCCCTCGGCCTTTTGAGTAACAGGTAAACTCTGCTTCCATCTTCCATTTCCCTTTCCTTTGTGTCTTCCTCTAAACACCTTTGATAGTTTAAAGAATTTACATTTTTTTTCCTTCTGAGAAACTCAGGTTAAGACCTGAAAGGATTAATTGAAGCTAGCACAACAGTCGGTATCGTTGTATGCCTTTAATTTTTACCTTTATTAGGCCTACTAATTAAAGTAAAAAAAAATGGGGAATAAGAAAGCCTTAAATATTTCTTTAAAAAATTGTATCTGAGCTAAACAATTCGTGACTTTTGAACAGAGGTAGAATTTCAGATCTGGAAGGGGGTTTGGCCATATTTTTCACCAGTGAAGAGCTCCGTTTGGTGTGAATCCATGTAGTGGATACTTATCTGCATTAGTAAAATTGAGATTAATGGTCCTGCTTTATAGGCTAAGTATTAAATGGGGTAATTTATGTAAAAACACTTAACACTATACCTGTCATATAGTAAGTGCTTAATGAATGTTAGTGGCTACTACCACTATGTTATCTCCTAAGCCATCCAGAATGTCAGGACTCCATTAAGTAGTAAGAGTTCATGTTGCTGACCTTTAGGAAGTTGGTGTATATGGGTCTGTACATCTGGACAGCGGTGGGGAAAAGTTTCTTTTGGCACAGAGTTGAAATCTGGAATCCCTGTGATATTCATGGGCCAGGCCTCGCTCTCCAAGTGTGGGAAGAGCAGTTCAGTAAGGCTCAGGAACACCTTTGTCAGGCCCCAGAGCAGTGTGCTTTTCCTCGGGGACATATGTTCCTATCCATAGTTCCATGCCATTCTTGGTCCTCTGCCAGTTCTCCCTGAGCCTGCCTCCTGGTCTTTATACACAGAGCAACACCATGTTTCTGCAAACACGGATTCTTGTGAAAGGAGAAGTAAATAAAGTCCTTTCAAGTACTTGAAGCCCCAGAGTTGGAGTCTGGGTTCTGTTTTAGGTCATACCAGTTTTCATACATGTGTGCCAACTTCCTGGCTGGTTGTTTTTTTTTTTTTTTTTTTTTTTTGAGATGGGGTTTCACTATTGTTGTTCTTAAACTCATGAGCTCAGCATCCTCCCGCCTCAGCCTCCTGAGCATCCGGGACTTCAGGCGTGCGCCACCACGCCCCACTTCCTGGCTGTTTCCTGAGGAGTCTGATGTTGAAGGAGAAGCTGTGTTGTGTTGTTGTGTTCACCCTGGGTGCTGCAGAGATGTCTTTCTACATATTGCTGGGAGGTGGAGATGGACAGGAATTTTGCTCAGGAAACAACGCCTTGTAGTTAAAATGATGCCTTTAACTATAATGAACTAGAATGGATAGTGAAAAAGTGGAGTCACCTTGGGAGTGAATTTGGCCTGGCTTTTCCTGGTAGAACTCTGTGATTTGGCATATGTCAAACTCATGAGCTCAAGAGATCTTCTCTCCTCAGCCTCCCAAACAACTAGGAGGCCTTGATGTTGTCAGATATAAAGCTACTGTGATGAAACCTACTTTGTAGGATCATTGTGAGGATTTGTAGGGGAACAGGTATAAAGGGTTTAGCATGAGGCTGGACACATAATCTGGCTCAGTAAATGGTGATGATAGTTGTTGCCTAAGCATTTCTCCACTACAGGGAACGTTCTTGTAAGAGGGTATTCACGATGAACTCCATCCTCCCCACAAATAGGAGCACGTCCTTTGTACATAGCATCATGCTGGATTCAAAAGGACCAGACACACGTGAAACAAAAATCCCTCTTTTAATGGTCACAGTTAGTGGAAGACAAGAGCAAAAATTAAAACAAAGCCACCCCGTTTCCCTGCAATGTGACATGTCCTGTGGGTGGCATAAAGGTGAGAGTGCTTTGAGGTCACAGATGAGGAAAGACCAACTTTGCTAATCCAGCTAGACTGGTGGAAATAACAGTTTATGTGCTTTTAGTTATACTATTGAGTTCTTAGGGCCTTTTTTTATTTTAAAAAATTTCAGAGTTTTTCAAAACTGAGAAAATAGTTCAATGAACCCTCAAATGTCCATGGTCCAGCGTCAACAGTTGTCAGCCTGGCTGATCATGTTTTCTCTGTGTACACAGGCCCTCTTACTACTGACCTCTTACTTTACAACTGATGCCAGTAACTATGTCATTTTAATATTTCCTCACTACCTATTTTACTATGGACTCCTTAAAAGATTAGTTTTTTTTTCTTTAAAGCATAACTGCAGTATTAAGTTCTCTTAGAGTTTATCTTTTTTAAACCTTATTTCATTAAAATGTGCAATGGCATAGGTATGGTATCTGTAGATCATAGATGTTAGGAAGAAGACCTACTTCAGGACCATAAAAATAGACAGCTAAAGGTTTTAAAAACTTTCATTCTTTGAAAGTATACACATAAATTTCTGTATTAAGACTATTTCTGCTTTATATCATGTGACCTGACTTTTGCATTTGGAAATGGAGTCCTGCTTTTCTAAAAATATAAATGGCCTTTAAAGTATTCTTCCCTTTGGAACCCAGGAAGTTGGTTAGTGAGTTATCTAATTTAGCATTGGGATAATTTCTTAAACTAAAAATCATAGCACAATGAAGAATTCCTACTCTTCCCTCTTTGAGGAAGAAATGAAGACCCCACCTGATGGAGTCTACCACATCAGCCTTGGAGAAAATGTGGGCAGGTACTCCTTGGCCAAGTCTATCAAGTTAAATCACAGCGCAGCTTTTACAAAATACTTAGAAAATAAATGCCCCCCGCCCCCTTTTGCTAGGCCTAAACCTCAATACTGTGGAATGATTTTTCTTACTCTTTCATGAGCAAGAATGTTATTGAATAAAAAGTCAAATTCCTATGAAAAATGCAGAGTGTTTATGTTTTTGTTATGAGAGTAGAAATACCAGATTGTGGCAGAAGATGTCAAGTAGTTAAGGCTAAAAATTCAAAGTAATATTTGATGTTGTAAAAATTGTATAGGTTTCTTTTCTCTTTCCTTCACATTTTTGAAGAACCTACCTTGTAAACATAGTGATAAAATGCCAGGAATATTAGGATTTTAAGGAAATAATAGAGCCTATTATTTAAACTACAATATAAAAGGCAATTATATTGATGAAGAGCTACATGGGCTTTGTGTGTGTGAATAAACTTGGCCTGTGTTCAGCTTCTATTTGTTCTTCTGGCATAAACACATATTGTGTGTGATTCCAGTTTAATGGGGACCCGTTTGTATGCCAAGCAGCTGCATTTTAGGACCTATTGCGTGATTTCATAGCTCTCTGAAAATTGGTTCTATTCAGAACAAGAGATAGAAGAGGACAAGGGGGGTGGTGTGGGGGAGCTTCAACACACAATCATTTCTTTTCAATTGGAGCCAGAAAGGTTGATGACAACATGACCATTGTGTTGTAATGATAAGACCACTAAGGCATCTGTACCTCTCATCAAGGCTTTCACACCACAGCAGATACAATTTAATTCACTGCTCTGTCAGCAGTGCTGATACCATTATGCCGTCTGTCTCCACAGTTATAATCACTGTCCTCTGAGAAATGCAGTTGAAATGATCTTGAGCAGTCAAAGAAACTCTCAATTAAGGCTGCCACTTCCAATGTGTCAGATTGTGTCTTATGCACTTGGTACAATTTTCACTTCCAATCCTGTTTATTTACAATGTCTACCAGTAATTACGCTTAACGTGTCATTTAGTGAGGGGGGCCCCTGCCAAGCCGATTGTTGGGTGCTGCTGTACCATTGAGTGGGAGTTTCTCGAAGTCAATGCCATCAGCAGCTTTTAGGCCCTGATGGGATGCAGTAGTAATGTTGATAATGCAAGTATCGTGCTCATCAAGTCATAATTAGATGCCACTCAAATGTGCCACTTGTAATAACAGTGTTGATTCATGTTTTTCTCGGTGACTGCAACTACTAATTAGTTAAGTGGTTTTTGGTTGGCCTGCATTTGCGGCAGATTATTATTACCCCTGAAAAAATGTCAAGGTTAGAGATGTTTCTGGCCATTTAGTGCTGCTTTATGAATTTGAATATTAACATAATAAGAACTTTGGACAGACTTAGGAAGTAATACATTTTTTGTATTTAATTTGGAGAGAATTTTTTTCCCTCTGAGTTTAATCATAATTGCAGGTTAATTAAGCTTAAATGAAGCAAAAGTAATCTCTCTTTGTGTTATGTGAGCCCAGAGCTTTTTGCCTAACTTTGTTGAGTTTCACATTTGGGTCCTTTAATTTTTTTTTTAAAGTCAAACAAATGTCAATAAATATACATGTCTACAGTTAGGTGTAAGGTTCTGGGGATTTTCTTTTAACAAGAAATGTGGGTGAGTGGAATTGGCATTTTCTTAGTTGATCTTGAGCCTCAAAATATAATCCAAGTTCTAAATGACTCTGTACCTTTAAATCTCAATTTGCATAAACCAACTACTCAAAAATCTAAAACAGTTTCTTAAATGTTGGTAAAAAAAAATCAAGTAAAATTTGATTTTTTCCCCTTATTCCTACTGATAGCCTATGATAGAAACAATTTAAACCCCTGTTTTCATCACATGCTACATAAATCTCAGTGCTATGCTTCTGTGCTCTGGAGTTTGAAATAACAGTGACTGGCTTGTCACTCTTACAGAGTAATATTACAACTCTTAGTTAAGCTGCCACATAGTTATGTCAGTCAACTTAAGATTTATTTTCATTTTACTTCTTATTACCTAATTTTCTTTATTAGATCCACATGTTATATTCTTCTAAGAAAGACATCTTGCTGCTGTTCATTTGTGGGAGAATCTTTTATTTAAATTAGCCGACATGTCTGTAGTGTCCATAGCCACATAGAAAATATATGCTTTATAAACCTCCTAAATGTGTGTTAGAGTAGTGCCTGTTCTTTGTTGTGTTCTTTTTTTCTTTCTGTGTTCAAATATGAACTAAGTTAAGTCAGGGCAGCTTCTTAAAAACTTTTCTTGATAATGGCTAAAGGCCAGCCAGAGAAAGAATTGAAGTATTCGTAATCATGGGACGATGCGTGGGCTTCTGGAATAGCTGACTAATCCTTGAATGCTGAGACTTTTTCCCCCTCATTCCTAGTTTCTCACATGGTTATAGAGGAAGTTAATTTCATGCAGAACCATCTTGAAATTGAGAAGACTTGTCGAGAAAGCGCTGAAGCTCTGGCCACAAAGGTGAGTCTCTCTTCAAGGTAGGGATATTTCTTGAGTTTTCAGATTTCAGCTTGTTTTGCTGGGGAGCGGCTTCTGCCCTGTTTGGCTCTGCCAGTACTGCAGTCACTCATCTCCCTATTCTGAGGGTGAAGAGAGGGATGCGGGTCTCAGAATCCTGGAATGGGATTATGTAAATATTTGCCTGGATGCAGAGGTGGTTTTGATTGTAAAAGGAGGGTTTGCCTGTGTGTATTTCCACAGTTGTGCTTTTTTTGCCTGGGACCAGGGTTCCGGAGTAGTCTGTTAATGTGTTGGACTTTCCATCTCTGCATTTGGTTCAGTGCTAACCAAGTTTAAAACTAACCAGGTGTTACATGAAAGAGCAGTGAGTGGGCCCTGCTGGGACTGATGGGAAAGCCAGCCTCCAGCCTTACATTTCAGGTGATTATTTGTGAGAGCAAAGCGAGGGCATGCAAAAGGTGACCTCAGTGCTCTGCTGATTGCCTCTAGCTGATGAATTTACCAAGTGTGTAATTTTCTATATTCTGTCTCATCAGAAGTACATTATTATTAAAGAATGTTTTTATCTCTGTCTTATGTATTTTGGGTTGGGTAAAATGCATCTGAACCACTTCATCAGAAAATGGATTACAGCAATTTTCAACCAAATTTCATTAGTAATGCTGGTTGTGTTTCTTTTCCACCCCCAACCTCCCAACATCCACCACCTCGGGAGTATTTCTTTGGATGTGACTGAAATCCTACCACCAATAAATAAATAAATAAATAAATTTAATTTGTGTGCATTAGCAGTGTGCTTGCGAGAGGTATTTGCTTAATTGTTTGCATAACGACACTGCATTAGAATTCATAAGATATTCAATCAGAACTTAACTAAGAACATAAATTTGTGTGTGTGTGACTTCTCTCCTGTTATTTGTCTGAAGGATGCATAGCAACCAAGGCCCTTGGTTTGAAAACACCAAGAGCTTGGGTGCTCCTACTTCCTTTTACTCTGGGCCACAGCACCGGAGCTCCCCAGTCCACGATGGTGTAAGAATTCTCCTACCATTTCCTTTATCTCTTTTGAAATAGGCAGAGGAAAAAAAATTATATACAGAGCAGAGTAGCCGCTGTGACTCTTCTGGGGCCTACAGATAGCCTCTATACTCTCTCTTATTCTTAACATTAATTCCAGTTGGATTATAGACACTGGTCACCTCTCAGGATTGGCAGAGTTTATGGCCCACCTTTATTAAACAGGTAGCCTTTGGTAAGAGAATTTGCCTCTCTGAGCCATATAGTCCAAATGTTCTGAGTGTCTGTGTGGACCAAGGTTGTCATCTTAGGCATTCTCCAGATCCCCTTGGTCCAGGAGCATGGTCCAGGCGTGTGTATGTTGGAAAGCTGCCAGGTATCCAGTGCTGTCTCCACTTAGAAACCACTCTTGCCTAATCCCTAAGGTCATTCTTGCATCTTGGATTTTTAACTTACACCACTTGTTTCCTATCCTAAGAAGCCTTCTTGAAAATGGACATGTAGTTTGTTTCTGAGGGTGCGATGTGAATTCATAGGGAATGGAGTGAAAAACAAATCAAGAAGCAGAATTAATCCAGCATTAAGTAATAGATTAACCTATTAATCTATAGACATGCTCAGCAGATATGAAAGCAGAATTTGGAAGCTTCATTTTATGTGTGACACTAAGTGATAATAGAACATTCTGTTTCAGTATCAATTCTCATTTTTTGAAAGTAGACTCCATTTTCTGAGCAGAGAATTTTCTATAAGTTAATTATTTTCCTAAACTTTTGCCTTCAGATAAATGGCAAATGGAATATTTAATTCTTACAATGTAATTTGACCTCATAATTTTCTTAAAAAAAGTGTGGATAGTTTGCTAAAATGTGGAAGCTAAACTGATAAATGTATACCAATTATTTTAAGTCAGAAAATTCAAAGCCATTTAATTTGCTTACTTTGTTTCTTTAAATATTCACTGAACTATGACAATATAAAAACTATTTAAATTTGAATACAGTAATAGGTTCATTTGGTGGGGGGGGGTCATGACTTACAAGGATTCCACGCAACAGGCAGTGTGCCGTTAATCTGTAACTTGATGAGTAGCTGCAGTGAAATTGCTTAGCCAAAATCAGTGAGTACAGACTTCTCAAAAATGTTCATAAGACATCAGGCATTGCAAATCTTGTATTTCTTCTTTCAAAATATGAAAATGGTGTTTGAGAGAAGACTTAGGATGCTATGTGGTTGGGTTTTTCCCTCAAGCTAATGACTACTGAGTAGTTGTATTACAGATGACCCGTAGCTGATGGATTTGAGTGCCTGGTTTGATAGAGGCTTGAAGCTCTTTTGAGAGTAGAACTGTTAACTCTCAGGTTACCAAGTAGTACTGTGATGGTCTGGGAAGAAATATATTAAGTACCACATGGCAAAAATCAGCATTTTAATGAATATCCTGGAAGAAGAAAATGTATAGATGCACACCTTATTTGAAGAAAACTAGCTGATAAATGATTTTTCAAAGAGAAATTAAAACTAAGCCTCCTTTTTTAGTAGATGTAGCTAAACCACTTACTGAACTCTAACCTGATCTGTAATATCTCATTTGATCTTCATATTGGGGATAGAAACCGTTTTTATCCTTAGTTTGCTGATGAGAAATGAGACACTGAAGGATTACATTAGTTCTCGAGACGTGTGTGCTAAGGCATCCCGTCAGTCTGCATCCGTGATGCTCAGTGTTGATTCACTGAGTCTGAAACAGTACTATGCTGGCCGTGTGGTCAGAGACTTGGATAAGTTACAGCGCATTTTTAAGGGTTTTTTTTTTTTCTTTACATGAATCTGTTGTTCTCCAGAGATTGTAATGTGCAGGGATGGGAGTCATTTGTTTAAATATTAGAAGGCAGAGTTATAATTTGTCTTCATTTTAAAAAATTTCTTCTTAAATTGATGTTTCACACTCAGAAAAGATGTCATAGTATAAGAATTGACAAGATTCCTTGAGCCTCTTGGAAGGCTGAGCTGTAGCATTCTTAGTTCACAGGACCCACGACAGCATCTCCTAAAATTTCCATCTTAAGGAAGAGGGGTTGGGGGCTTATGGGCCTCATCTCTTATCCCTGATCCCGTAGAGTAACATGGGAAGATAGGGACTAGGGACTGGGAAAAAGGAATTCCCTGAGTAGAGCTTCTGGGTCTTCCCTGGAAGAATCCATGGAATTTTTATAGCTTTTTCTAAGAGATTCTTCCTGATTCCTCAGGGAAGTTAGGGAAACCTCCTGGGCTCCAGACCATGGCACTTTGTTCTGAATTATTGGGATAAGAATCAGATCTTCCAGACTGAAGTGAGCTGTGAGAAACCCAGAAGGGCCAAATTATGATCACAAATGGGCTGAAGCCAGATGTGTATCATACTAAACTTCTTGTTCTGGTGTCAAGTTTACAATAAAGAAGATAAACTAGCATCCCAGTGACATTATGTTCATTTATTTCCAGTGTCAGTTATTAAACTCAAACCTGCTTATTCTTTATTAAGGAATAACAAATACATTAACAAATTAGGATTCTTTTTTACTGCTGTGAATTAGAACTCTTTTTGAAGAGATAACAGGAACTACCTTGAATTTTCTTGTATTGTGGTTTATTAAAATTCTGTGTACAGGTAGTAGAAACACATCTTGAACAAGCTCAAGCAAGAAAAGAGATATGGGAACTTGTTAGAGACAAATATTGGAGAATCCCAATTGTGAGTCAGGAGCAGTTTGGGAGTGGACTGGGGCTTGGGGAACCCTCTCTCCTTGCTTTTCTCTGCCTCTCTCTCCATATCAGCTTCATTTTCACCTTTGCAACACACTGCATTTCTCCCTTCCTCAGGTCAGTAGTAGAGTGTGGTTGCCAGCCTCTGTTATGTCCAGACACAGGGAAACTCATTTCTATTCCAGCCTCCAAATTCCTAGAAAAGAGATCTGATTGGCCAAACTTGGGTCACGTGTCTCATCTCTGGACTTACTAGCTGTGGCTAATGGCTGGGGAAGGCTTTGGGGATGTATGGTCTTCCCACAGAAATCACATGCTCACTGGAGATGAGTGGAAATGTCCAGAAAAGAAAGGACTTAAGCAAGCAGACACTTAAGAGGTGTTTTCAGTACAGCATCAAGATGAAAATTTACTTTAAATAAAGAATGTATATTAAGACTATTAATAACTAGAAATACTGGTGTTTTAATTCCTTATATGTATTTCCTCTTGGTCATGACTAGCATTTCCACTTGCTGCTGGCTGTAATCCAGGTACCAGTTCTTACTTAAAGTAACACATCTAATATTAAAACGTGTGAACACAACCTTGTTTAGTGAATCTGCTAATCCTGTGTCCTGCTGTGACTGTTGTGAATATGCAAGACAAAAACCTGCTTAATTTGTCTATTGTTTAAAAACCCAAGATAATTATTTGACTGCTGTTAAAATAACTATGTTTGCATTTTTTCTTAGCTAAATAAAGAAAATAAAACACTGAAAAGGATCAGCATGTTGTACATGGCCAAGCTGGGACCAGATGTCATAACCGAGGAGATAAACATTGACGAGGAGGACCCTGCTGGGGACACAGACGGAGCTGCGGAGACCTGTGTGTCAGTGCAGTGTCAGAGGCAGATCAAAGGTGGGACCCTGCTCACTACGGAGCAGGCTTCCATCTCCCTGACTGCATGTTGGAGCCACGTGAGAAGCTGTAAAATGCTAAATAGTTAACTTAAAAAAAAAACCACTGATGCCTCAGGCCCACCCCTAGAGGCTATTTGAGAATCACAGGGTATAGCACTTATGCTTTATGGGTGGCTTTCTTGTTTGGAATTTGACACCTTTGAGAGTGTTGTCTCCAGAAACAGCCAGTTAGACCACATCCGTAAGAGTATGGGCTGGGTGTTAAGAGAATTTTAGATGTGTTATGCAAGATAGAAATTCATTTCTCTGAGGCTGGGGTTTGACTCAGTGGTAGAGTATGAGCTTAGCGCACTAGATGCCCCGATCCCATTCCTAGCACCAAAAGATATGTGTGTGTCTATGTGTTTAGTTAATATTCCCTTTCAGTTTAGTTCTGTGTTGGATTCCTCCTTAAATTACTTAGTCTCTGCCTTCTAAGAATATCTGATTTAAGCGATGAGCTAAAAGCATACTCAGTATTAAACAACTGTGTTGGCTAGCAAATAGTGCCATAGAGTCAAGATCATAGGAGACTTCTCTTCAGTGCAAATTAATTTTATTTATGTTTATAAATATACATATATACATATATGTATATGTATATAATATGTGTATACACACACACACACATTGTTTTTGTTAAAGATGTCACAAAGCAGTTTCTGGCTTAATGACTATCAGAGCATTTTAACCTGGTACACATTCAGAAGTACTACTCTTTTGTTTATTTGGTAGATAAAATTTCAGGTACAGGTAGAAACATGGAAGGGTTTACCTGGCTTTACCTGACTCTTCAGCCTCTTAACCCAAGACAAAATAGAGTTGATGCTGGCTGAGAGGGAGAGGAGGTTTAAAGGATTTCCTTTTGTTCATTATTCTCCTTTCTTTAGGTCTTGAGCAATATGGTCTCATGTTCTTCCTTGGTAGTTAGCCAGCCAGTGGAGAAGGTGATTTAGAATCAAATCACTGAGAACTTCTTCAAGCTGGGTCCACGTACAAAGTTTAATGCAATTTTTAAATAACCACATAGCAGGTTTCTTACTGCCCTCAGAGAAGGATAAGAAATTAAAAGCAATTAAAAACAAGAGGCAAAACAGTAGGCCTGGATAAAAACTTAAGTAATCTGTGCTAATCCATGTGTATTTTTAAACATTTGAGTGGCAGAGGTAACTTTTAACATCAGAAGCTTTTGTACTTAAAGTTGCTAATATTTGCATTCTAGTAACATTTATCATTACATCACAATAATAAAAAGTAGAAATAAATTAAGAAATAAAGCACCCACAACTCTGGAGAGAAAGTTACTAAAATTAACCCTTCTTTACATTTTTGAGTTAGTTGGAATGATGCTTATGGTCTATAAATTGGCAGGAAGTCAGGACTTTTTTCCTTCAAATCAAAATCTCCAAATTATTAACTGCCCAATTTTTTGTTTATACTGTGTTGTGACAAGAGCCATGGTCTTTATGAAATAAAAAAGAAATTAGTATGGTGCATTAAGCATAAGCCGAAGAAATTTAACTTCCCAATTGCTGGATAGTTTTCTCAAATTTGGATTTGATCAATTGCAAAGAAAACTCACTTTGGTACATTTAACATGGTGAAATTGCCTGGTATAGAACCAGGAGTGTTTGGGGTGGGGCATGCAGGTGAGATTCCCATTGTCCTTTGCTTTTTTATTTTCCTTCTTTTTGCCAAATAACCTTGATCATAAGCCGTAGGGCTGGCATTTTCAGTTCTTTTGAATATGTTTGATTTATTTATTTTTTAAACCTTTTTCTTTTTTTTCCTTTAAAAATGCAGAACTTCGAGATCAAATTGTATCTGTTCAGGAGGAAAAGAAGATATTAGCCATTGAGTTGGAAAATCTGAAGAGCAAACTTGTAGAAGTAATTGAAGAAGTATGTATCTTAGGCCTGAAAGGCAAGGCCTTATGTGTCTTCAAACCAAAAGTCTTTTTTTGGGATTGGCTCTATCAAACACTTGGTATTGCTAGCTAATTTTTGATATAAGAACTGTGTAACAATTTTGATCTTCTCCTTTGCCCCATTTCAGACATACAAAAAGGGTTAGGAAGCATGGTCATTGAACGCTCAGGTACCCATTACCTAGCTGAATGACGCAATACTAGATAGCATTGACATGCTCCCTGTTGTCCCCATTTTTTTTTCTTACATGGGGCAGATTTGTAAGAATGGTAGCGGTTTCAGGTCACGCACTTCATTGCTTCTGGCAAAGAAGGAAGAGAGTATCTTGCTTCTCCAGTGGGATGGTCTGGCTCCGTTTAAAGGGGCTGTTCCTTTGTGTCCCTCCAGCACAGGCAGATAGGGTAGATGTGAGAGGGGGTTCAAGCAGGGATTTGGAGACTCTTTCTATTGTCCCTTTGAGGTGTCTTTAAGATCAGGACCACACAGTTGCCTTGTATTTGCTCGAGGCTGAGAGTCTAATTTCACCATATGGTTTTAACTTGTCTCTGGTTCTCAGATTCTGTAGCTCAAGAATTTCACAGTGAATGGGCAACAGCACTTCAGGTGGCTGCCAAACGTGCCAGGGTTTGATCCCACCAGTGAGCAGCCTTCCCCAGTTTCCTCCATTCCTGTACATATATCACCAGTTCCTTGAAGGCCATGATGTAAAAAAGATTGGGAAGCAGTGCCCACCAGCCTTCCCAGCCCTGCTGCTTGTCCTTCACTATGGCAGGACATTATAATGAATGGGAAGAAGGGTGATTATACTTGTGTAGGGACTTTCCTGTTGGATAGTGACAAAAAGCAAAAGTAAGGCTTCTAGGAAAAGATGCCGGTTCACAGTCTCTCTGGAGGTGCTGCTGGCCTCACGGCTGCTTTCAGGATCCTCATCCTGGCTTGTTTGTCGAGTCACCACCAGAGAGGGGCAGGAAATGCATTCTTCTGCCCCCCAAACCATAGTGGGGGTCATTTATTGATGATTCTCTCTCCTTCCTCCTAGAGGTGTCATTGGAAGACAGTTCAGAAAGTATTTTTATTGTGACTGTCTCAGACATCTGAAAAGGTACAACGAGCACAATAACGAGCATCCTCTACCCGCTGCCCGGCTAAGCACACACAGATTGGCGAGTGAGGAAGCTGGTGCCTCTCCAGCTGCCTCTTCTCACTCCTGCCCAGCTCCCCCGAACTTGGTGCTCACCATTTGCATTTATAAGTTTAGTACAATCCATAGTGTTTGGAGTATTTTTAGATTACATAAACATACCTGCTTAATGTATTTGAGTGGTGATGGATGTCAAATGTTCTTTCAGACATTTAAGTTTGGGGGAGAATATTTTCATGTGTATTCTGTGTAAGGAAAACAGTCACCAAAGTTCGAAACTCATCCCCTCATTGAGTATTGGATCTCTTGACTAAATGATTGTATTTTCTGGGTGACCCATCATTAGATTTTTGTGTTAAAAATACAAAATATATGCATTAAAGGGTTAGGATATGGTCATCTTTCGAAACTGGTGCTGGTGCCAGCATGACTGTCTGAGTTAGGAACCAAGGGATCGTCCTTGAATAGCCACCTCTGAAGCTGTGGGGACAGCGCTGGCGATGCCTACCGTCTCGCTTAGCACTGCAGCTTCCTGTTGAAAACTTTGTGTTGAAAACTGAACAGCCATTTGAGAATCACACGTTGCCATATGTCTCGTTTTACAATGTTGGGTGTTTTCTCCCCTCAAAATCTTACATTTTTAGGTAAATAAAGTTAAACAAGAAAAGGCTGTTTTAAATTCAGAAGTTCTTGAACAGAGAAAAGTCTTAGAAAAATGCAACAGAGGTATGTCGTTCCAGTCTTTCTTCTCGACCCACCGCGTATGTCATTTGTTTCGTTTACATGTATTTTGTGTCATTTTACCTAAAGACTCTCACAGTCCAAAATCTCCTGGACTGTTTTCCTAGCAGTGGGTCTCTTTCATTCCCACTCTTTTGTCATTGGGGGCATGTGAAAGTGGTTTCATTGAGGAGCTCAGAAACTACTTGTTTTGCAACTTTAGACATAAATGCCACATCTGTCCTACATGTGTCCTGGGACCACAGTCATCTGGGCTGACACTTCTGCATTTATGCATTTGATAGGTCATTTAGTGAATCTCAGTGCAAAGATTGGGACATCTATAGTGATTACTTGCAAAGAGATAACATTTTAAGTTATGAGGATGGGAAATGGAACAAAGGGGAATTGAGAGTATAAATTGATGTAGAGAGTGGATGCATGCTTGCTCTCATGTCTGTGTCTGAAATCCGGCTCTGAGCTGCAGGTCATGAAGGATTCATAACCATTTAAACGAATTAGTAAAAACAAACTAACGATCAGGAAAGTCAGACCTGGTCTCATGGTGAGAGGACAATGTCTCCAGTGACTACTTCCAAGGAAAACTATGTAATTCTAATTGTCACAGTGACCATATCACTCTTGTAAAACGTAAGAGTCTTCTGGGGGCTGTTGCTTATGTCCCCAATTGAGGGAGTGATGCTAAGTACAGATATGGAGAAAGTTTATTCCAAGGGAGGGGACTCTGTCAGTCCATTTTTCATTGCTGTAACAAAGTACCAAAAGTTGAAAACTTGAGAAAGAAAAGATGTTTATTGTTCCCAGTTTGAGAGGTTCAAGAGCATGGCACAGCATGTGTTTGGTGCTGGTGAGGGCCCCCTTTGGTTGAGTCATAGCTTGATGGATGGCATCATGGTGGGAATGCAGGTTGAGAGGGCAAGATCACATGGCAAGATGGAAAGCCGTAGCTGAGGAAGGGACCAGTCTTGCTCTTTTAATAACAGTCCATTCTAGTGAGAATTCACCTACTCTGTGAGAACAACATTGCTCCTTTCTGAGACACAATGAGGTAATTACTGAGGCTAAGCCCCTCCTCTTAAAGGGTCTTCTTCATACCACCATATCGGGGACCATGAACCTTTGGGTGACAAACCTCATGCAGACCGTATCAGAGACTCCAGTATGCTTCTTGTTCTCTCCCACCCCCACCCCCAGCCACTTGGCTTCCTACTCTAGAAGCTGAGACACTAACAGGAAGTCTTTTGGACCTAGGGCTTTCCACATTGTCATTGGTGACAGCTGTCAATTCGTGCCACTTATCAGCTGGGATTTTTAAACAAAAGACCTGGTAGTTAAGTGTGGGAGATGCATTGGATGGTAGCATTTCTTTAGGTCCTGACTCATTTGTAGGTAGAAATGTATCGAGGAATTTGCCATCTTGAGGCTCTGCGCTGGAAACAGGGTTCTGCAGAGGTGGATCACACAGCCCTGCCTTCAGAGAGCCCCCCGTGTGGGCAGAGAGGCGGCTATCAATAAACACAGCACCAGGACCAACCTCGTTTCTTTCAGAATCCAAGTCAAAGGGACCTGGACATGTGAAAATTCACTTTTTATTATAGTGTTCTGGACATAGAAAAGAGTCAATTATCTTGCCCAGGGCTTCAGATAGTCGTAGTCTTCTTTGTTTTCTTCACAAAATTTCTTTTCTTAAATAGATTTTAAAAATCATTTAGCTCTCGGGGACCTATAATTCACACCACAAACCACCACTTACATTACTTTACTTGAGTAAGACTATTCGCCCTTCGTCTGGGGAGGCAGTAGATTTACAGAGTGGAGTTTGAAATACTATGTCATTACACAGCAAACCCGTCCTTAGTCAGTTAGAACTGAAGTGCCTGGGGAAAAGTGAGTGAAAGCAGCCATTAAGAGGGCCTTTTGAAGAATTTTAGTGACATGACTCAGCTCAGGACAGGGCGCCTCACCAGAAGCAACTGGGTGGTGCCACCGGAGTCATTCCTAATTCTAGTGGCGTTACTGTCCCCTTCATTCTGTCTGTGCCATTATTTAACAAAGTAGGCCATTAAATGGCAAGAGTAGGAAAGAAGGCGTGTCACTTTTATTTGAGAGGACCTTCTTCTTGAAGGTGTCTGTCCTGTGGAATCATTTGGTCCTCTGGCCCTGGGTGTCTTTAAGGCTGTTTCCCTTCATTGTAAACATAGAGAACACTTGAAAATAACACACACAGATACACACATAACTTGAAATTTATATGTAACGTAAAAATATATATGTGTGTGCGTGTGTGTGTGTGTGTGTGTTTACACACATATATATTCCTTTTATTGGGTTACACTTTTTTTGGTAGAAAATTGAAATTTTTTCTAGGAAAAGGAAGCTTTATAATCCAGAGATAAGCACTATTGACATTTTAGGATATGGGTTTTTTTTTTTGTGTGTGTGTGTGTGTGTGAGTGTGTAGGAAATGTTTATTTGAGGGCTCACGGTTTCAGAGTTCTCAATCCATAGACAGCAGGCTCCATTCCTCAGGGCTTGAGGTGAGGCAGAACATCATGGTGGAAGAGTGTGGCAGAGGGAAGCAGCTCACAGGATGATCAGGAATAGAATATATTCTTCTAATTAAAAAACATATGTATCCATTAAGTTTTTTGTTACATATGTTTACAATATATATGGAAGAGAATACTAGTAAAGGAAATCTCTCTTTACCTACTAATACCTGACAAACCCATAACCATCTTTCTCTGCTTATTCCCCTCTGTTGAATTTTATCTTTTTCTTTCTCTTATTTAATAGTTTTGCCAAATATATATGTATCCCTAAATAGTACATTGTTTAATTTTGCATGTTTTTGGACTTGCTATAACGGAATCATTTTGCTATAACCTCTGCAGATTTATTCACGTTGGGCATTTATTTCACTACTACCTAATGTTCCATAAGATAACCCTATCAGAATTCACTTATGCATTGATCTTTTTGCAGATATTTGAGTTATTTCCAGTATTTTGCTATTCTAAGTTATGTGTTATGAAAGTTCTCATACATGTCTCCTTATTTCTCTAATATATATGCCACATGTAAAATTTTATCTTCAGTTTCTCTGTGTAAGGCCAGATTATTTTGCAAATAGATGTCATTTTACACTCCTCCTAGCAGTATATCTGATCTCATTCTATACCCTTCCCAAACAAGATATCCACACTTTAATTTTTGCAAATTTCTTCTTCTTTCGGTAAAGAAAAGTACTTCACTTTGCATTTCCTGATGCCTAATAACAGTGAGCATTTTTCTACATGTTTATTGACTTTTTATATGCTTCCTGTCCTGTGACATGCCTGTTGATGTGTTTTCTGTGGCTTAAAAAGAAGAATTAATTTTGCACTAATTTTTGAAATTCACTTATTTTAAAATATATATCATAAATGTCTTCTCATTCACTAATTCTGTGTTTGCAATATTATAATTTTGGTGGCATAATAATTTTTTGCTGATCCTTTGATGTTAGATGATTTCATTATTTTCAGCAATAGTGCACATAGCATCCTTGCATCCGTACCTGTGTGTGTATATGTGATTTATTCTTTCAGGATGTGCATTCCCAGAAGTGGAATTGTCAAATCAAAAGATATGAATAGTTATAGATCTTTGATTCATATTACCAGGACACCCTCCAAAAAGCCTTTATCAATTTTACATGCCAAGCAGGAATGGATGAGGGTCCCGTAGGCCTCAGTCTCTTTCCCACACTATTTCCTGTCTGTGTTCCTGATAACTTGTATGGCACACAGTCTTACTTTTCCTCCTCTTTTTAAGTGTCCATGTTAGCAGTGGAGGAGTATGAGGAGATGCAAGTGAACCTGGAGCTGGAGAAGGACCTCCGAAAGAAAGCAGAGTCGTTTGCACAGGAGGTGGGTATTTCGCGGAGACCTGGTGTTTTGTTTTTGTTTCTCAAGGGACTTTGCTGATGACAAACAAAAAAAGAATGAGAATACATTCAGATTAAGAAGAGTGAGTTCTAGGGTTCTGCAGCACAGTGGGATGACTATAGTTTCCAATTTATTATATATTTCATAAAGAACTAGAAGAGGGGCATTTGAAGATTCCCAGCACAAAGAGATGATAAATGTTTAAGGACATGGAAATGCTAATCACCCTGATTTAATCATCATACATACACATGTGCACATACACAAGTATTGGGTTATTGTACTGTACACCATAAATATGCACATTTATTGTGTATCAGTTAGAAATAAGGGGGAAAACACCTTTTGAGGTTAAACCTACCAGTTTGCAATAAGGAGTACCTGGGTCAAGACATAGCTATAGAATGGTATCAAGTTCACCAAAGTTGGTGCAGGAAGGTTTGGGTTCAGATTCTGGCCATGTCAGATACTAGTCTTATTCTCTCAGAACAACCCTTATTCTTTTGAGAGTCCACTTTCGCCATCTGTAAAATAGATACTGATACATAAACTGAACCAAAAGGATTTTAGAACCAAATGGCATGATTTTTAAGAAGTATTTTTTAAACTATAAAGTGCTCTATGGTAGGAAGGAATTGCATTTAGTGGCACCCATCACTTGTGATGAGAAGTCTGGCTTGAGTCCACCTGTCATCTGAGATAACAGCACCACGGAATCCTCCTCTCTCTCCAGCTTCTCTCTGCTGCACTCACTACGTGAGTTGATTCTTCCACTGGCTGTGGAACACCACCATCTTGTGCCTCCATCGTCTCAGCCTCTCACCAGTGTGATGATTTTCCTCTCACGTTAGAGATAAGCTTTGAGCTTCTCTAGTTCTGACTCTGTTGATATGCAGTCATTGGGTGTTCCCTGGCTCTGGGGATAGTTTCCAGGGGAATGAGGAATCGCTAGTTGGTTCAAGTCATGGTGTGGAGCTGATCTGCAGTGAGATCTCCAAGTTGTTTAAGTATTTTGTATCTGTGTGGATAACCTGGGGTGAAGGAAAAAGCTAAGGAGGTGTGAAACAGACCGAGGGAGAGGAATCAAGGCTGTAGACGAAGACAGGGTTTTATGGGAATGATATTTCAACAATGAGATTATGGTTTTGTGTGTGGGGTTTTTCTGTGCTTGAGCATAGCTGTGCTAGCAATGAACTCTACACAGGGTTAACTCCAAGTGCCGCTGATTTGAAATATTATGATTCATTTTATTCAGAGAGTTTAATGAAAGATGAGTGAATACTGTTCTTATTACTGGTAGAAAGGAAAACAGAATTGAAGTGTGTTAGAGCCCTGTGGAAAAGCTTTAGCAGAATAAATAATGCAACCAGGTAAACAGTGGAGGGGTTGGGAGGGTGGGGAGAATGCAGAGACACCTCCATTGCAAAACTGAAAAAGAGAGACTGAGTTTGACCCAGATGCCAGGGTCTTATCTCAAGACATTTTCAATTTTCCATGTATTGTTTGTAAAATGATGTTATAATACAAAGCAGCTCAAAGAAAACTCAAAGGCGGTGCAGCAGCAGAGGAGATAGATAGGAGAAGCAAGACTACAGCGAGAGCTTGGAAGTGAATGATTTACTCAGCCATTCAGCTGCTGGGCCTTATCCTCTAGCAGGGGAGCGAACATGCTGCACTGTATTAGCCTGGAGTGAGGAGGAGGACCTCTGAAAAGGGAAGGCCAGAGGGTTGGTGCTTATGTTACTGGTGGCATAAACATATAGTGTTGATCTACAGAATAGTGAGAAGAAAACTTTTTTAAAAAATAGTGCTCCACTGGAGCCAGTATGTTTTCCCCTGCCCATGGCTGGCAGATTTTCAGGTTTTCAGCAGACAGTAGCTGCTAAGAGACACATGGCTTAGTTTAGCACGAGGGACTCCCTCTTTACATTTTGTTCTTAGTACCTGTAGCAGATCTGATTGCACTAGACGCTGTTGACGTGATGATCAAATGCTGAGGAAAGCAAGATGAGCTCTGCCTTTTTGGATCTTAGAGTTTTGAGCCTAGAAATCAATTTTTAAAGTTTATTTATTTTATCTTTTTAATTGCAAAAGGGATATTCGTACTTGTAAAAAACACAAATCAGTTCTCAAATGTATAATGACTCCTACTCATACTAGTTCATTTGAAAAATACAATTCCCTTCAACAAAAAGTCAGATGTTTTCTTAGCTGTGTTAAGTTTTTAAAATTTCAACAGATTCTGAAATTTTAACAAGACTTTTGTATAATTAAAAAAAAATTCTTTTTTGCTCTTCAGTGTAGTTTTTTCCTTTTCTAAGACACAGATGCTTTATTCTACCTGTATTCCCAGTAAACTATGAGACTGTTACATGATTCTTTTTTCTTTCTGAATACTTTAGATATTTGAGTATTATTTTGAAAAGAATGAATTAAATTAACAACATAAGATTTTTTTTTTCATTATTACTCTTTGAAAAGATTTATAAAATTTCTCAGAAATTCTTATTCCTGCAGTGTTATTCATCTGAAATGAAACCAGCTTCCTGATTTGAACCAGCAAGTTCTTACAGAGCTGAAAATCAAATTCATTAGTGTTTGGTGACTGAATTCTCTTGAAATATTTTTTATTTTTAGAAGAGGAGTTATTTGTAATTTTTTATTTAGGCATCTTGAAGTTCAGAGAAGATAGTCTACTGAGTACTTTTTTCAAGTTATTCTTATTATTAAAGGAAATCTTCTATATATGTCTTCCTCTTACAACACTACTGTTCAGGGATTATTGTGAGGTTTTGCAAAAGGAATTCATGTTATTAACAACCTTGACTCGATGTCACATGTGTTGATGACGCAGTTGAGGTGGTTGTACTCAGGCGATCGTGAACAGTTTTCCAGAGCGCTGCCTGGACGAGGAGCACTGTTCCTTTTTGCCAAGAGAGAGCCAAGTCCAAAGCTGTCGCCCTGCTATCTTGATGGGCAGCTTGTGCCTGCTTGGTTTTACTGCTGGTTGGTCACCCTGCTGGCTTGGCCTCAAACACACCTGGTGGAAGGAAACCCCAGGTCAGTGGCTGTTTGCAGGCCCCTCCTGCTGACTGCCTGAGGCACTTTCTGAGGTGGGCCCCAGGAGCCCAGCTAATTACTTTCAAGAGGGGAAATGTATAAGAAGGAAATTATTATAATAATAGTAATGGTAATCAGAAATAAATTACTTTAGTTAGACTATTGGTCTAAAATTCTAGGCACTGTTATGAACTATTGATTACTCTTCTGGACTTTCAAGCCTCTAGGCTCCTTCTTCCCTAGCCCTGCACGCATGTGCACATGCACACTCATGCTTACTCCTATAGAGGTGAGGAGTCAAGTGGAAGGATGCAGATTTCACATACTATGTATAATTGTGGATTTACCTGTTTGGCTTTGCAGAGTTCTGGTTTTTGCATTACACTGTCAGAGTTGAGTGAGCTTTTTATAAATCCTGCACAGGCAAAGAGTGCTGGCTTCAGACAGTTTTTCTTCCTCATAGGAAGATTTAATGGGAAGACAGTGTGAGCATTTTAATATACTGTGTTCACAACTGGATTTTGATTTGGAAATCAGTACTGACCAGGGATTAAGTTTAACGTTTGCATCGGTCATTAAAGCTGTGGTCTTTCCATATGAAGGTTGATAGAAAGTAATTGTTTGTCCTGAATTTTATTCGCTGACTTTTTCTGTTACATGATAAATGGAAGTTATTGGACAAACGAATATGTGCTGTACAGAAAGTTACTTTACATACAGATCTTACCATTAAGTTAAAATGTTTTTTTAAAGATGCTGTTAAGAATCTGAAAGTGTGAAACTCTACTGTTTAGAGATTTCAGAGTTTGTGAAACATTTTGTGCTTGGAATCACCCACTGGCCAACTTGGATATGGTATTAAGGAAAAGAAATAATAGGTGAATAGAAAGTAATGTTTTCAATCATGTAAAGTTGTGAGAATTAGATGAATAATAGTGTAAGTTGTTTATAAAATGCTCAGCAAATAGGATACTGATTCCCTTCTCCCCTTGTCTTCCTACTGTCAACTACTTTCATCACTGGAAGGGAAAACAAATTGTCTTAAAACGTTAAGTCTAGTAAATAGCAGGCATTAGGCAGGTGGTTAGGAATCTGAGCTTGTAAATCAGACAGATATGGATTTAAATCCTGGTCTTGCTATTTATGTGTGTCCTTGGGAAGGTCACTTAACCCCTCTGATCCTCAGTTGCTTTATCAGTAAAATGGGATGACAGTCTCTACTTCACAGTATTGGCCTAAGGATTAGATAATGTAATGATTATAACTATGGGTATCATGTAGCATTTACTAAAGATTATCTATTTGTATCAGAAGTATTTAACTCAGAGTTGATGTAAGGATTAAAATTAGGACTGTGAAATACTCTGTGGAGTATTTGGCACAAGAGAAATTCTCGATATTATCTATGTCAGTAATTGTATTTTAAGGCAATAATAAAATATTAGAAGTTAAGGGGTAGGATTGTTGTATATATTTCCCCTTTGAGGCAGATGAAGATATGAGGATTGTTGGAAATGAAATCTTAGCAGTCACCTCCTCCATGACTGTTATACAATTCAGGACTTCCCTTTGATGTCTGAATACTTTCCTGTTGCTTAGGTTGCAGTTGAGGACATGTGTGGAATTGGTTGGTATGTATATTTTTGTAATTAACTTTTGCAGATGTTCATAGAACAAAACAAGCTAAAGAGACAAAGCCACCTTTTGCTTCAGAGCTCTGTCCCTGACCAGCAGCTTTTGAAAGCTTTAGATGAAAATGCAAAACTTACCCAGCAACTTGAAGAAGAGAGAATTCAGCATCAGCAAAAGGTAACAGATTTTATTATGGGGGCTGAGACACACACACACACTTACACAGACATATTAAAATGAAAGGAGTCAGTCTAGTCTTTTATAGTTCCATATTGACCTTAGTTACTAAGTCCTTCCAATCATCTTTTGGGAAAGAATAACTACCGAATTAATTTATTGCCCAATTGAAATTGTAGCACACTTTTTTTTTTTTTTGGAAAGGGGTACCAGAGATTTAACTTGGGGCACTCAACCACTAAGTCACATCCCCAGCCTTTTTTTGTATTTTTAAAAATTTTTAAAAATTTGTTTTAATTAGTTATACATGACAGTATAATGCACTTATATACTTTGATATATCATACATAAATGGGATATAATTTCTCATTTTTCTAGTATACATATTTAGAATCACATTGGTCATACAGTCACATACATACAGTAATAATGTCTGTTTCATTCTACTATCTTTCATATCCCCACATCCCCTGCCTTCCCCTCCTTTCAATTCCCTCTACCTAATCTAAGGTAGCACTATTCTTTTTTTTTTTTTGCATTACAATTCTTTTAATACACATATATACCACAATTTTTGTATCTCTGTTTGTTTATAAAGAATGTTGACACCCAATTCAAGTCATCATACATGTACTTTGTATAATGATGTCCATCACATTCCACCATCCTTGCTAATCCCCTGCCCCCTCCTTTTCCCTCCCATCCTTCTTCCCTATCTAGAATTCATCTATTCCTCCCATGCTCTCCCTCCCAATCCCACTATGAGTCAACCTCCTTATATCAGAGAAAACATTCAGTATTTTTATTTTTGGGATTGGCTGATTTCACTTGTATTTTTTTTTTAGAGGCAGGGTCTGATTCAGTTGCTAGTGCCTTGCTTTTGCTGAGGCTGGCTTTGAACTCATGATCCTCCTGTCTCAGCCTTCTGAGTCACTGGGATTACAGGCATGCACTACCACATTTGGCCTTGCAGCACACTTTTGTAGACTTTATAAAGATCTTGAAAACAGTCATTGAAGAATATTCTTGAAGAAGCAAGGGGAAAGAGCTATGATTAAAAAATGTCTCTGGTGATGCATAGTCTAGAAATCTTTTTTTTGAGGGGGGAGGGGGGATGGAGAAGAACTTAACTGGTTTTTAGAGATGACATACATGAGGATGGTGTATTAATCTCACAGAGCTTGCAGGGCATAGTTCTTATTCAAACAGGGAGAGAAAGAAAAATCCATGTTAGTGGTAATGATTTGCTTAGAGAATTTCTGATTGTGCAGCTTTGCATAAATGGATATGTGTAAAAGTCTTCCTCTGTGGTTATTTCAGTGCACAAGTGGAGGTCTTCAGCTGACCTTTGTGCTGGACAGAGAGGACAGTCATTGTGGTTGGTGAGAAGGGGCAGGAATGAGGTGGAACAAAGACTTGCAAATTAAAGGAGCTACTTAAGGAAAATCACACTAATATTTATACTACTTACAATGTACCTAGCAGTGAGGAAAGGCTGTGAGCTTCTGTTTGTATTCACCTGTCAAATTCTCCCTGAGCAACAATATGGACATGTAATCCTTGGAACTTCTCAAGTTTTCCCCAAGGTAGTAGTGAGGTCTGGCTGATGTTTTGTTTCCTCAGTAAGAAATGTTGGCCTAGGTATGTATGGAGAACCTCTTGGTGGACATATGGTGACAGCGATTGCCCCCAGGGAAAGAGGACTAGGGAACAGGTGGGAGAGAAGGAATTTCTTTTTTCCTGTTCCATGATTTCAAATACAGAGAGGGAGAAAATGCGTTTGTTCAGCTTATACTGGAATGTGCCCATGCGTGCACACACACACTTTTTTTTTTTTTTTTTGTACTGGAATAGTAACTACTTTTTAAAACTCTATGATAACTAGATTCATTGATTTACTTACTTATGGTACTGGAATTTGAAACCAGGGGCCCCAGGGGTGCTTAACTACTGAGCCACATCCCAAGCCCTTCTTATTTTTTTATTTTGAGACAGGGTCTTGCTAAATTGCCAAGATTGGCTTTGAACTTGAGATCCTCCTGCCCTCAGCCTCCTGAGCTGCTGGGATTATAAGAATTTGCCACCAAGCCCAGTTTGTGCTGGAATTTAACCTTTGGTTCTGAAAAGTTGAACTACTTATAGTTTATTTTGTATATAATACATGCTTGCAACCTACAGACTTGAACTAAATACAGGACTAAATTGGTTTTGGAAGAGGTAGAGATGCTGAAGTTAGATAAGAGTTAGGAATGATGTAGCAATCACTACTTCCACAGTAGTTATACTGAACATTTATTTTGGATAATCTTTCATGTATGTGGCTTAAAATATTTCTTTCTTCTTGAAAAATTCCCTGGGAAAATCAGTAAAATCTTTTAAACACAGCTGTATTCTTTTTGCAATTATAAAAATAGCATATGGTCATTAATAATAAATTTTTGAAATATAGAAAAGTTAAGATTAGCATTACCCAAGAATATCATATTTTGGTACATATCTAAACTTTATATGTAGATGATTTAATGAATATGTGTGTGTTTTAAATGGAATCATACCATGCATAGTTTTCTATAACCTCATTTTTTTCAGTTCACCTTTCAGTATATAGTAAGTTATATGATTTTAAATGGCTGCATAGTATTACATTTAATGACACATCCTGATATCATAAATCAGTAGAGAGACTGGTAGACATTCAGGTAATTTCCAGCCTTTCATTGCTGCTATAAGGAACATTTTAGTGAATCTGTTTGTACATTTTTGTATATTTGAGTTTTTTTTTTAAATTCCTCAAAGAGGTATTACTGGATCATAAAGGCCTTTGGGTCTTTTCTCTTCTTTTACTTTTTTTTTGAAATGGGGTCTCAGTCTCCTGAGCAGCAGGGACTATAGTCATATACCATCATGCCTAACCTTTTTTTTTTTTTTTAACTTATTACCAAATTGTGATCCTCAGGGACCTTTTTAGCTACTACTTGAATTTTTACCTTGAAAATGAGCATGAAAGTATATGAATCTACTTTAGGTATTATTTTACTTTTGTGACTCACATTTAAAAATTTAAGTGTTTGGTATATAACTCCTTAGTAAGTTTATATGAAATCAAAGAACCGGTAATGATTTATTATCAGAATTTGTGTGACTTTAAGATGGGTTACAATCTTTCTGTAAAGCCACATGAAAATTCCCTACTTGTCAACAAAGGAAAACTTAAAACCACATTGTTTGTTTCTAATTTACAGGTCAAAGAATTAGAGGAACAACTAGAAAATGAGACACTGCACAAAGAGATCCATAACCTCAAACAGCAACTGGAGCTTCTAGAAGAAGATAAGAAGGAACTGGAATTGAAATACCAGAATTCTGAGGAGAAGGCCAGAAATTTAAAGCACTCTGGTAAACTTGTTGAGTAGGCTCCTCTCTCTCTCTGTTCACCTGTGGATCTCATGCCAAGGACAAAACCTGGCGTATAGTTGTACGGAATAGAAAAATGCCAAAATTTGTTTTTCAATCCCTTCATTTCTAACTATGACCATTCAGCAGAATAGTGTCTATAATCCAGTCATTCACAAATATTTAGACTTCAATTTGGGACACGGAGCCTTTGTGAACATCACGTACAGAATTAAGACCTAAAGATGCCATTAGCATGGGGAGACCAGAAATGTCAGCATTTCTCAGGGCTCCAGAGATGAGTGTTCATTAAGTACTTTATTTTGTTCATTTTAGAGTGCTTTTTAAAAAGAATTAAACTTTAAAAAAATAATACCTTCATCTTTGGTGCTTATACTCCCATTTGTCTTCGGTGTCTAATTATACACCTGAAATAATACTTCCTGTGCCACACCTAACAATGAAGTGGGCAACAATATATATATTAAATGGAAAAACTTTTAAAGCACCAGGGGATGCTTAAATCAAAGGATTTATTCATTCAGGGCTGGAAGGCTTAGCAGGAATGTGCAAGTTGGATTACTACGCAATGTAAGTCTAAGTCTCTGTGAGAAGGTGGGTAATTTAAGAAGGCAGGGCTATTCACTTTATAACAGCTTCAATATTCGCTTCAGATACTTTTGGTTAATTTTATACTAGAATTTTGAAATCTGCAGAAGAACCATGTAGGTTTTTTTCCCCTTTTAAAAACATTCAATGCTTTTTAATCCACAGAGAAAATTGATTGCAATTTGTTTTATAAAAATTGATCCAAAATTAAGAATTTTTCCATTCTTTAAAGCAAATAGCAGAGTAACCAAGGCCATCTTTATGATGAATGGAAGTGGCAGAGATTTAAATTCAATTTAAATGCTTTTATGTAGAATCTGCTGTAGTGTGTGTACTCAGTCCTACTCCAGGATATAAAAAAATATATACAGAAGAAAAGAAACCATGCCCTTTTGTCTTTGATGATCTCAGAATCCCTTTAAAGAGAGTGAGGCATGCACAGGGAATAACTAGAGGATTCTTGGTGTCGAGAGCTTGGTCCACACTGCCTATTGTAGTGTGTAGGGGAAAGCAGAAGTCAGTAATGGACAGTATGTGCTACCTCTGGGTGCACACAGTACTCCGTGGTATCTGTCACCCATTAACCCATATGACAGGATTAGCATCTGTATGTAAACATTTTTTTCAGTGCTGAGGATGGACCTAGGGCCATGGGCTTGCTCGGCAAGTGCTGTACACTGAGCTGCATCTCAAGCCCTGTGATATACATTTAAATTGAGCTCCTTAAAGCCAGGAACACTGTGTCTCCAATAACACTATTCATGGGGTCTTTTACATTGTGGGTCCTTAATAAATGTGTCTCATTAGTGACTTGGATGAATGGAATGAATACATTATATCTCCAGAATGCTCTTCAAAAGAGCAGAAAGTTTCTGAGTTACAGGCATTTAGGAATGTGAATCTGGTTAAAATCAAGGACATTCGCATTTACAATAAGTTTCTGAAGGAAATTAAGCGGAGGAGAGAAGTATGCAGCTATTAAAATCCATCACTAAATGTCATCTTTAAAAGTAACTCTTGATCCACACACATTTAAAGTCAAGCATTAACAATTTCTTAGTGTTCCAGTAGTATGCGCTCCATTGTTACAAATATTTCTTCAACCTACTCAATCCTTACTTCCCACCCCTTAGTTTTGAATTTTTTTCTAAAGTTGCATATGCAGGAGAAAGACTGTACAATTTTGTTGTACCAGATGGAAGACCTTTCTTGTCTTAGTGACAGACTAGATAATGAACAGTTTAAAATGACTGCAGTTTCATATTGAAATTTCTAACTTTGCCTCAGTGAAAAGTACTTGATTTTGAGGGAGGTCATGTTTCTTCTTCTACATGGATAAAAGATGTTAGGTTGCTTACTTCTGTTCTGTTTTGAATGCTTGCCTCTGTGCAGTTGATGAACTCCAGAAACGGGTGAACCAGTCTGAAAATTCAGTCCCTCCTCCACCTCCGCCTCCACCACCATTGCCCCCTCCTCCGCCCAATCCCATCCGGTAAGTGCTAGAGGGACTGCTGTGGCAGTGCTGGTGGTCACCTTTTTCTTTTGAATACCAGTTTATACTGAATCATGACAGAGTTGGTAAAAAGCATAAAAGAGTGACGGTTGCTTCTCTTGTGAAAAAAATTAAAGACCAATGTATTATTCCCTCCTTGTAATATGTAGAATATTGGCTTAAAAAAAAAAAAAACACTTGGTAAAGAAGTTCTCATGGCCAACGTGTTCATCTGTTGTTGACCTTGAGATTCCATGTGGGTGTTCCAAACCCAGGATCTAGAATCTTGCTTTTTTAATCTTGGATACTCCACTTTAAAAATTTCATTCCGTTGCACTGGGATTTTCTTTGTAAAATTCCTGTAGGACCAAGGAATGTCTCCAGAGTATTTTCATCATTTTCTCTCACTAATTTGAATTTGAAAAGTTGTAGTTGATTTACTTATTTTTAAAATAAAAGTACTGAGCTAATACCTAAGCCCACTAATTGTCACAAACTAGTAATTAATCTGGAAGTGCTTGTTCTTTTTAATCCTTAGCCACACATTTAAATTTTGAATAAGGCTGAAAGAGGAACCTTTTATAAGGAAAATAATGTACACCTAAATTATTGGGAAAGGAAATCACATATGCAGACAGGAATTCACTGTTTCTGAAGACCAAGGTACATGATGGTAGTGAAGGGCCTCTCTGGAGCATCATGGGCTCAGGAGATCTAGAGTCATTTTTGGCCTCTGTGGTTCCCCAGACTGCCATGCACAATTAGAGAAGACAGCCTACCTGCAGTGGTGACCACTTGCCTCCTCAGGCCACAGCGTTATATGCTTTGTGTACTTTATTCCTGAACAAATGGTATTTAAACTTTTGCAAGATTTTTTAGCTTTCATTAACTCATGTGATTTGTTTAATCCTTTCACACAGAGAGGCCATTTGTTCCTGCTTTGCACCTTTGCTGATCCATCTGAATAGAATGTGTAGCATGTTCCTCCCACATGACTATGAAAATGGAACTTTGCCTTTTAAAAAGATTCTCATTACTTTTCCTTACTGAGTAGGGGATGACATAATCTACTTGAAGCCATTGAAGTAGCTAAGGCTAAATAATTTTTACACGTGATAGATCCAAGAGTTAATTGAAAGAATTTTAGGTATTTTAAATTCTTTCTCTCCTGGGTAGCTAAATCTGTAGGAGATATTCCAAATTTGACATTTAAAATTAGACATTCATCACTTTGATCTTACTCTAAGGTCTAGAATTTTGAGCTGATAGGAAAGGTCACTTCTCTGAGGAGGGAAAACTGTTAAAAAGCAATTACAATCTTGCTGTTGGCCTGTAATTTTTAGTCTCAGAAATGTTCAGAGCCCCTAGAATTAAAAGTAAAGTATTACCTAAATAGATTTTTTTCCCCCAAAGAGTACTTTACAAATAGACTGAGAAATGGATATAAGTTCAGGATTTTGTATATCTCAGACATGAACTCTTTCATAAGCCTCTTTCAATACAATTTTTATTGAATAATATGAATGGCTTATATTTTAAGATGAGTTTAAATAGTAGAGGAGATAATTTTTAGAAATTTTTTATGCATGAGAAATACTTTCTTGTCAAAGAAACATTTGCATGTGTTTTAAACGTTTTGATGGACTTCAAACCTGTCAGTCAAGGTTTTCCAACTTTGTTCCTGAGCCATGTGCTTTATTTACCCTGGTATAGATAATAGGTAGAAGGGAAAGTGTGTTGGGGGTTGAGGGCTAAGACCCATAGCTTAAGTAGCTTTATTACCTTTTAGGAGAAAGAGGAAGAGGCCATACCTTATTCATTTTGTATCAGGGGAGTATTTTAGTCAGCTTTTTTGGCACTGTGACCAGAAGACCTGACAAGAACAATTAGAGGAAGAGAAGTTTCTCTGGGGCTCCTGGTTTCAGAGGTGACAGCCCTTAGATGGCTGATACCATGGCTCTGGTCCCAGGCAGCACATCAGGGGAAAGGTGTGGAGGAGGAAAGCAGCTCAGGACATGGCAATCAAGAAACAGAGCTCTGCTCACCAGGTACAAAATGTGTGCCCCAAAGGCACACCCCCAGTGACCTACCTCCAGCCATACCCTACCTCCCTACACTCATCACCCAGTTAATATTCAAGTGGATTAACATACTGATTAGGTGAAGGCTTTCATAATCCCATCATTTTACCCTAAACTTTTTTGCATTGTCTCACTTAGGAGCTTTTGGGGAACCCCTCGACCTAAATAACAAGGAGTGTAGGAAGGACAGGTCCTGGACAAGTATGGTTCCTGGGGAGAGGGCTAGGTACATTAGTTAAAATACTCCAGACCCAGCAGGAGGTGTGAGTACAGATGTAGATGTCAGTAGCTATAAACAGAGTCATGTGTTGTTAACAATGGAAATTCCGTCTGAGAAAATGCAAATAAGACAGTTTCAATCTGCAAACATCATGCTGTATACTTACACAAACTAAGATGGTTATGATGTCACTAGGCAATAATATACTCTTTTGGGAGCATCACTGTATATGATGCTCTGTCATTGAAACATTGTTATGTGGCACATGACCAAGTAGAGTCAGTCATTCATTACAAGGAACTGGCCCAATGTAGTTGTGGGAGGCTTATAAGTCACAAGATCTGTAGGGGAGTCAGCAAGCTGGGACCATAGAGAAAGAATGGTAGTACAGTTCCAGTCTGAGGCTGGAGCCCTCAGAACCTGTGGCATAGATCCATTCCAGAGGCTGGCAGGCTCAAGATTCAGCACATGGTGATGGTTCAAGTTTGAAAGCAGGAAAAGGTTGATGTTCCAGTTTGAAGAGTGTCAGGCAGGCGCAGTTCTTCCTTACTGGGGGAAGGGCCAGCATTTTTGTTGTGCTCGCTGTTGGAAGAGGCCCCCTACATCAGGGAGGGTAGTCTTCATTGCTCAGTCTTCTGATTAATTAAATGTTAATCTCATTTAAATCACCCTCACAGAAACACCCAGGACACCTTTGATCAAATATCTGGGCACTCTCTGGCCCAGTCAGGTTGACATACACATGTTCCATAGTTCATAGGATATTGTGTCTTCCACTTCTAACAAGAACAGTTCTTGAAGAACTACGAGGTAGAAATTACCACTGAATAATTCCATGTAGGGTGACAGTGGTTTGAAGCTTGATATGGTGAAGTTGAAATGGTGATACACAGAGGCATAATTTTCTTGCCTTTATTAAATGCACTTTTGTCTTGTCTACATATGTGTCCTGTAGGGATAGAGAAAGGCATCGTACCTTTCTTCACTGGTGTTAAGGGTCACTGCTGACACTCCTATTAACAAAAGACAGGCTAACAAGAGATAAGCAAAACCCATTTACTTATGTGACACAAATGTCTTGAGAGTAGAGTCCCAAAGACCTAGGGGAAACTGTTGATATGCTTAGGTTTAAGGAGGAACAGCTAGCCACATGGAAATGTGACTGGAGGGAGGGGTAGAGCTAATGGTAGTAGGCCGAGGAGGGACCCAGCAAGGCCTGTGTGTTCAGTGGTTCCTGGCCTCTGTAGCATTCCTTCCTCTTGAGGATAAGGTTGGACCCCTCTGAATGAGAGTGTCATGACCTACTGTCAGACAAGTAGGTCAGAGGATCTCGTTATGGCCAGTTCCTACATAGAAAGACCAGGGAAGGTTAGAGTATTATTGCTAGTTTCTGTGTCCTACCTACTCTGGGAGAAGAAGAGGGGCGGGAGACAGGAGGGCAGCAGAAGGTCGGAGAGACCCTCCAGGGCCATCTCAGTGTCCTTCAGTTTAAAGTACTAAGCATACCAGGGTGCTGTACTTTGTAGTAGTGTGTTCTGAAACCCAGTGGCCTCTATACTACTATAAATATCAGTGTGGCCTGTTGTTGAAGTTTGTGTAGTTGGAATTTTTATATGTCCATTGTGTCTTCCTCTTCTTACACCACAATAGATTCTGACTCTCCATGTTATATTGTGTGACTGAGGTTCATTCCTGTGCATGATATGTAATACACTTGATGAATGTCTCAAAAGGTGCTTATCCATCACGGTGCTGATGCGCATTTGAGTCCTTACCAGTTCAGGGAATTATAGAAATTCAGTGTGACATTCTTGCACATGTATCCTAGAGCCCAGGTGCTTGCTTTCGATTCTGTAAAGTCTGAGGTTGTGGATTATCTGGATCACAGGATATGTACATCTTCAGCTCCACCAGATAATGCCCATTTTCCAAAATGGCACTATCGGTGTATATACCCTTGTGGTTTGAGAATTCTTCAGCACCAACACTTGATCTTATCAGACATTTTTTTTTTCATACTTGATGAGCAAGTAGTGATATCTCAGTATGGGTTTAACTTTTGTTTCCCTAAAAATTAAGGGAATCAGACAGCTTTCTTGTTTGTATATCAGAAACTTGGATGTCCTTCTATAGTAGCTAAATATTTTTGTCCATTTTTTTTTATTGTGTTGTCTGCTGTTTTCATTGATTTTTTTTAAAAAAATTATTTTGTAACTTGTCTTTCTTAGTCCTTATAATATCCTTTAACGCATGGAGGTTTTAAAACTTTAATGTGGTTCAATTTATCATAATTTGAATTTTATATACATTTTAAAAATAGGCTAGAGAAACAGTGGTCTAAATATATTTTATCTTTAAATAGTTGGTCTATCGCATATAGATTCAGATATTTTTATGCCAATATTTGACAAGTAGAGATTTATTGATAACATATACTGCTTTTTTATATGAAACATTTCCTAATTCTCTCATCTCTTCTTTTTCCCTAAAATGTAGTAAATCGATAGCCATTTCTGAATTTTACATATGAATTTTTACATAGTGAATTTTTTCCTGTATCTGTTTTCCTTTGTAAATATGTATGCATTGTTTCAGTAACCATAGCAGTCCCTTCCTCTGGTGATTACTTTGGTTTTGCACAGAAAGGAATGAGACATATTTCTTTCCCTCAAAAAGATGAAAAAATTTAACAGTATCAAAAATGAAAATAGATTACATAAATTCTGTGTTCATGCATCTGCAGAAGAGTTGGACTTTGATTATTTAGGATCTGTACATTTTTATCTGTTGGATCGTAAGGTACATAATAATCTCCAGTAAGATCTGTTGGTCTTTTTCTTTTTACCAAAGATCCCTCATGTCCATGATCCGGAAACGGTCCCACCCCAGTGGCAGTGGTGCTAAGAAAGAAAAGGCAACTCCACCAGAAACAAGTAAGCATCATGTCTGTCTGGGTTACCTTAAGCAGTTGGTGATGTCAACTTTTCAACAGTTCACACATTTGTCATATGAATAGTGTGACTTTGTGAACAGGTTTTTGGAAGAGTGAAAGCAGCTACAAGAGTGAAGCAGGTGGCTAGGGGTAGAGCTCAGTTGGTAGAGTGCCTGCCTTGCATGCACAAGGCCCTGGGTTCAATCCCCAGCATCAAAGGAAAAAAAAAAAGAAAGAAAGAAAGAGCGAAGCAGGTGACTGTCCTTGCCTTCCTGCAGTCGATTGATTGGAGGAGATAAGTGCATGCACATGGCACTCTAATGGAAGGTACACTGGGAAATATGTTTTCATTAAAAACCAAGTGCTTTGGGGTGTAACAGGCAGTGATCCCAAATGAGGGATTAGAGGAAAGACTTCGTAGAATTGAGAGCAAGCGAATGGGACTTTATCAGGGACTTAAGAGTGGACTACAACAGTGTCAGGTACTGGAAATGTAAGATATAAAAGTCACATTCCACTGTGACTACACATAGTATGAACAAGTGAGCATCTGTGCAAATATGTGATTGTTTAAATACAGGTTTTGGCGAGTACAGTGGAGGAGGAGTACAGGTTTCTTGGAGGTTATAGAGTGGACCTCTGGTGTCAGAGGTGATGCTCAAGCTGAGTGGCCATACATTTAGGACATCGGGGTGAGGTGTTCAGGGTCAGTGCAGTCCAGGTAGCGAGCAGGATGTTCAAAACTGCAAAGTGAGGTAGGAGCTTGGTGTGCTAGAAAACCAGGAGAGCACTGCTAAGGTTGCAGCATGGGAGCCGGAGAGGAGGATTGACAGTAGGCAGGAGCCAGATTCTGGAGGCTAGAGAGAAGATTTTGGAGTTTCTCCTAAGAGCAGGAGACTTTTTATTTTTTTAATATTTATTTTTTAGTTGTAGTTGGACACAATACCTTTATTTATTTATTTATTTTATGTGGTGCTAAGGATCCAACCCAGGGCCTCACATGAGCCAGGCAAACGCTCTACCACAGAGCCACTACCCCAGCCCTAGAGCAGGAGAACTTTTAAAATAGGGGTGTAACATGATGAGGTTTGTCTTTTCTAAATTAAGAAAAAAATCACTGTCTGCAATAAGTAGCAGAGAATAGACTGTAAAGGATGAGAATAGACAAGAAGAGATTGTAGCCATTCAGGTGGATGTTGACGGTGGCTTTGATCAGATGGTGGCATGATGGATGAACTCAGGAACTGCTGAGAGAGGCAGAATACACAGGACTCTGGAAGTCATTGGAGATGGAGAAATAGAAGACAGCACCAGTAGACAGAATGGAGGGAGAAGATGCACAGAGCTGTCAGCAGTTTGGGGGCAGCCACTGTGACAGCAAAGGCTGAAAATTGCAGGGCCAGACCTTGCTCCTTTTGTTAAGGTTTGGGCCTTCCAGGAAACTGAGGCAGCACACAGGCCCTCCTTCAAACTCAGATTTTTGTGATCAAGTCAGAAAGATTACAGACATGTAACTCAGAATAACAAGCATGAGTTTATTGAAGGACAGGAAAAGGGAAAGGGGACACTATCAAGGGAGACGTCCTCTCAGGAGAGGGATAGCATGCCTCTCCTGAACTCTAGTTTTGTTGGGAATTTCAAAGAAGTTTCCAGAGAGTCCAGCCCAGGTCCACCTCCTGACATGTGACTGACAGCAGAATGACATCAGACTTTCAAGTCCCCATTGCCATGACAACTCTGGGTCACTTGGCCCATGCTGACTGGTTCTAATTGGATTCTTAACCATACATTCTTACAGATTTTATGATTAGAAGGAACTATCTTTATCTCCTTGAGTTCTGGAATCTGATCTGTGAAAAGAGTCACAAAAGTCTCCCCCTTCAGGGTAACTTGGGTTCCTTTTTTTTTTGGTCCTGGGGATTGAACTCAGGGGCACTCGACCACTGAGCCACATCCCCAGCCCTATTTTGTATTTTATTTAGAGACAGGGTCTCACTGAGTTGCTTAGCGCCTTGCTCTTGCTGAGGCTGGCTTTGAACTCATGATCCTCCTGTCTCAGCCTCCTGAGCTGCCAGTATTACAGGCATGTGCTGCCGTGCCCAGCTTGGGTTCCTTCTACCAACATTATTTGGGGCCTACTTTTCTCCTGCAGATAACAGGTAGTCTGCTGAGGAATGTGATATATACTGTCCACTTAAGCCAGATAGGGCTGCAGGTAAACTGATTTTTGGAAAAGAAAGCATGTAGAGATCAGCACAGTAGGCCCACTTTATGGAATTATCCCCTTAGCCTCCTGTTCCCACCACTCACTTCTGTCCCTATCACTTTAGGCCTGTAGAACCTGACCTATTAGAAAGCATCAGCATTTGCCTAGATGGAGCCCAGGTATACACATGAGATCCTTCTAGAACCTCTTTTCCCCACTTCAGGCCAGCTGTTGCATGTCATTGATAGTGTGACAATTTCTGATCATAGATCTAATTGTGTTGTCCTACATTTTATGACATGCTTCTCCTTGCATGAGCACAGAACTCACATTTTATATTCTGCCTATAGGTTACTTGTGTGTTCCAGGAGCTTCCTTCTCCTCTTCTTACTAATTAGTATTAATAATACAAATGAATGACTCATTAGTATGAGTTACTATAACATTTCACTTTAATTTTTTTTTTTTTTTGGTATTGCCAGGAATCAAACCCAGGACCTTGTGCATGCCAGGAAAATGCTGTACCACTGAGCCACATTCCCAATCCGACTTCATATTCTTTTCCTTTAAGTATTTAATGTCTTCCGCTCTGGAGTCTGGTGTTGGAGATATTTCCAGTTACTTGTCTGCTCCATGAGCAGATTACAAGCTTTTTGCAGGTTTACTCTTCTCTGCAGCTGCCGACAGCACTCATGGTATTGAATGGGTTGGGTTTGGATTTAGTCTTTTTTTTCTGATCAGGAACCTTGCAACACCAAAACAAATGAAAGCTGATTTCATCTCTGGGAATTGGCTTTCTATGCCTGCTTCCTGCTGCCCTTTGGAATCTGTTCTTCTTCATGTTTACGGGACTTTGAGGCAAATTCTGTTTTGCAAGAGGCATTGCAGGAATCCAAGTAGTCCTGAGGCTTTTGGTGATTTCCAGGGCAGCTCTGCTCTTGAGTTACGGGCTATTGATTTTGCCTGACACAGGAATGAAATTTTTTTTTCATATTTTTAGGGGAACAATTAGTATATTTTCAAGGAGGGCAATCAGAATAGAATGTTTCTTCCTTCAAAACAGATCACATTGTCTTGCTAATCTCAACAAAAAATTTAAGTATTTTTAATTTAAAATCTTTCTAATTAAAAAAACGTATTCTAGAACTTCTTAACCCTCAGCATCAGGAGCCATAGTATTTTCCTCATGCAAATGACATTCTATTAACAATTGATGAAATGTGGCGGTATTTCCTCCCATATCCTTGAGCTACTGGATTGTTATTTTGGAAATCTTAAATAATTACTGACACAGAAGTTGCTCATGAGATTTTTGCAATGAAGAGACCTAAAAATTATGCAGCTTGAATGACATGTACTGTAGCTAGAGGTGGCCGGAGCAGCATCCTATCTGTCTGGCAGAGTGGTTACTGATAGTGTCTCCTTAATTGTGCACATGGTTATTAAATATACAGTGAACAAATGCAGAGCATCAAATGTTAGTATCATCTGGGACATGTTGGGATTCTCATTTATAATGTAGGGACTGTCACACTATCACTGTGTTTTCTTTCTTATGTCAGTACTGTATGATGGTTTTTAAAATTTGGTTGATAAGGTTTTCAGAATTTATGAGTGGGGAATTCCTAGGTTTTTTCCCTTAGAAAGCTTGGTAATAAATTAGGTCAGTGGAATATTTTAGTTGTAGTTTTAAGATCTGAGTAAAATAAATTATTATAAACTTTGGAATTAATAGCGCTGATTGTTTATAAGAATATTTAGTAGGTCAATTCTAAGATTTCAAAGTTATGCCTGCAGTTTATGATATATTTCAGGAATTAATTTGTTGATTTTATTTTAACCTCTCCGTGACTCAGCTTGCTAATCTCTATAACAGGCATAAGTACAGTAGTCCTTCTTTTCTATAGTCTACTTTTCTGTATTTCAGTACCCTTGATCAACCACAGTCTGGAACTATTAAAGGAAAATTCTAGAAACAAATATAAGTTTTAAATTGCTTATTTAAAGTAGTACTGTGATGAAATCTCATGTTTCCAGTGTATCCACACTGTATATGCTACCAACACAGTGGAGAGAAAAACAGCCACATTCACATGAGTTTTAGTACATTATATTGGTATCATAGTTCTGTTTTTGGTTATTATTGCTAGGCTTTCACTATGCCTAATTTAAACTGTATCAGAAGTATGTATATATAGGGAAAAACCTAGTATACAAATGGTTCAGTACTTTCCAAGATTACAGGCACCCACTGGGGATCTTGGAACACATTCCTGTAGGTAAGGGATAAATACTATAATTCCTATTTTATGGAGTTGTTCTGAGGATTTCTGGGTCTCATACCATGAAAAATGTAGGACCCAGCACATAGACAATACTCAAAATGGTAGCTAAGGAAAATGGGCAAGATAGCACCTGTTCTATGGGAAGACAAGGAAAGTGCTGATTTCAGTAGATTCTAGCAATGTTGTAGTGACCATACAGAAAATTTAAATTTATTCAGCCACAATGTGGTTGGTTTTTTTTTTTTTTTTAAATTTTGTACATCATGGCATAAAGCCATGAGGGTTTTTTTTTTCTTTTTTAAAAGAAAGTTAGCAAAATAGAAAAATAATTCTGTGGGATTTAGAAATTTATTTTAGCTTCTTCTAGGTAGTAACAGAAGATTTTATTGAGTAACAAGGTGATGGTTTCATCTGTGGGGTTTTTTTTTTCCTCTCTTTTTTATTTTCTTTTGAGGAGCTAACTTATTTTTCAAGTGGGTCTTAAAATTTAAGCCCCAATTAATTACATGTAGCTTTCTGATCCAAGACTGACCTTGAAGCACTAACTCAAAGAACATTTGATTTTATTTTCCTGTGGCAGTTCAATAACATTAGACCTGTTGTCTTCATTTGTCCCTTTTCTTTAATCTCCAGTATCCTGCATATTTCTATTGTCCCACTGATTACATGCTTTTGTGAGACAATTACCAACTGCGTGATTGCAGAAAGAATTACAAAACATACCATGAGCTCTCTGTAGGCGATTCTTGCCAATTTATTAGAACTGCTTAATAGTTTAGAAGTTCATATAGATTGCTTTTTGCGATTTCAAAAACAGGGTCTGTGAGAGAGAAAGCTTGTGCAGCCAGCCTAGCTCTGCCCTTGTGTTGCGCCTGAGTAGGGAATCTGATAAGAGCGATTTCTTTTCCTTAAGACCAATTAAGCTTTTACATTTGAAAAAGGCTGAGAAATTAAAGCCTGGTTTATAATCTGTACACAATACAGATAGTGGCACTTCTCTGAATTATCACTATGATTCTGGCAAGCAAATATAAGAAACTACTTTAAATTCCTGCTATGTTAGATGCTGTAGCAGATTTGAATGGTGTTGACCATAATTCTCCATCTGTCTGCCTTAATTAGTTTTTGTATGGTGCATTTAATTGGGTTTCAGTCATTCCTTGCAGAGTGCTAATCTGTTTGTAGGCGGTGTTCCTATTGCCACGCAGCTCTTCCCAGTCTCACTCAAAATGGCAGCCTCTCTGAAAAATCAAGTGTGTTTTGTAGCTATTTTCTCAGTTCCCAGGAATGAATCTCATACTCATGGCAGATGTGGGTTTTATCTCTCCTGATTTTGAACAGGGTCAGCAAAAGCACCAGAGTGTACAATAGAGATTCAGGTAGCACATGAATGCGCCGGTGAACAAACGAATTTCCCCCACAGCAATGTGTTGTCTGTCCACCTGATGGTACTGGCAGGCTATTGGGAGAAGATGCCCTTAAGGGCCCGTGATTGATGGGCCTGCAGTTCTGTCACTTTTCATTTCCTGGTGCATGTGTTCTACCTTTGGTGACCAGGTTTCCCATGTTGCCTGATAAAGATACTATTTTGACTTTTGAAGGGAAAATTGTTATTTGGATATTGAGAAATTTTAGTTCCCAGCTTTTTGGTGACTTCTTAGGATGACAAAATGCTCTTTGAAGTGCGGAGTGCATCAGCAGCCTGCAAGACATGGTGAGTGTGGCAGAGATGCCGTCATTGTGCTGCTGCAGAGGTTGGGGGAACCTCGCGACTCCCTCACTACTCCCCTGGGCACTCCTGTATGAGGAAGGAATACCCGTAGTTAACCTGAGACCTTTCCAAAAGCACCAGCCAAAATTTAGGCCTCTGTGGCTCAAGGCCTAACACAAGTGCCAATCTGTTGGAGGGTACAGGTGTGATCTCCTCCTATTAGAAGCCAGCCTTTGGGGGTTATTTTCACTCAAATAGTAAAAATATTAATATCCAGTTAAAGCCAAAACTTCAGAGGTCATCTGTCAGTTAAGTCCTTGTCAAGTACCATTTGTCAGGCAGTGTGGTATCTACTGAAGGCACCGACTAGAAGGTCCTCATGAGACACTCCAATTTAATACATTGGCTGAGTTAAATGGAGATGAACAGAACTTCTAGAACCACATCAGTGGTGACAAGTGTTCCAAAGTGTTTCTGTGCTTTTGGCCAAGATATTCTACAAGAGAGAGGTTTCATCAACAGGTTTAAGCTAAACTCAGTTGCATTCATCTAGTTGATATACACCTCAACAGGTTTATTTGTTTTGCAGCAAAATAATTCAAAGGTTAGATAATAGTTGAAATTTTTAATCACATTTAATTACCTAATCACAATTATTGCTGGCTGTATGTTTTCTTTAACATAAAGAGCTTTAAAAGACTTGAAAAGGTTTGTTTAAATGTTTCCATTCCACATGATTCGTAAACAAAAGGTGGGAGTTTAAAAATAGATTTTATTTCTCTGCTATCCATCTTTTGACTATGGATTTCTTCCAACAAGAAAAACATCTCTGATCTTTTTTTCAAATAGGCTTTGGACTGATTTCTTTGACATAGAATGTATTGTAACTTATAAAAAAGAAATTTGAGGAAAAGATGAATGATTATTTGGAAAGGGACAAAGTCTCATTTTTAAAATACCTAGAGATATCCAAGTTTATTCTTATGTTGATGAATGAACAAAATCTACTTTAACCTAGGTGAAACAATATTTACTTCCATATTATAAATTTGATCTTAATCGGTATAAGTTTTACTCTTCAGATCTTTTAAGAAATTTTTTTAAAAAAACCATTTCTACCTGGTGACTGCTAACTTTAGTAAATTATTATGTTCAGCAACTGTCTGAAAAATCACTGTGATTAATTACATAGTGCAATCTTCAGTCACCAAAGATAGGAATTAGCTGTTTTCTTGTAACCTAAGATGATTTATGTCTGTTTTCTTTGAACAGCGGAGGAAGTCACGGATCTGAAGAGGCAAGCAGTCGAAGAAATGATGGATAGAATTAAGAAGGGAGTTCATCTTAGACCTGTTAATCAGACAGCCAGACCGAAGGCAAAGGTATGCAGTGGCCACTTGCTCCTTTCCCCTTGATATTTCCTTTTTTTAATGTAAAAATTTGGAAGTTACAGGACCAACTTTTGAGTTTCAGATAAGTCTAAGGTATCATGAAAGCTTTTTACTTCTGTATAAGCCTGTTTTGGGGGGACTTTTTGACCCTTGGTGTGAACCTAATCAGGATAGAAAGTAAGCCATGTATATTGCAGGCAGCTGCTGTCCCCTCTAGACGGACTTTGATATGTACTGTCACGTCAAACAGGGATTAACAATTGTGACTCCCTTTCCTGTCTTTGTCAGGAATCTGCTGAGTCCTCTGTGCCAGGCACTGGGCCATGAGGCAGTAGACAGAACAGAGAGCACTCTTGCCTTCTGAGGCTCCACGTTAGTGGGGTCACAGGATAAGGGGAGAGCAGAGCTAAGGCAGTACAGAACTGAAGGAGCGAGTGAGGATGGATGGTCTGCCTGTGCGACCTGTACCTCATCTGCTGCCTCTCAACCCAGATGCAGCCAGCCCTCGGGGTCTGCCGAGGTGCTGAGTCCAGTCAGTACTGCTCCCCTCCCTATGTGTGTGTCACCTGGAAAGAGACCCAGTAACAATTCTTGACATTTTTCTTGAAAAATGTTTTTTCTTTTTCTACTCTGATCAGGTGTGAACAGACAGGTTTTCTTCCTTCTTTCTCTTCCTTTTCACCAGACTTTCTGGTTTTTCTCTCTTGTACTCAAGGGTGCCCCTTTGCACTTCCTGAATCTCTCCTGCTGTGGTGACTAGTAGTAATTCTGGTGAACTGTTAAGTGACCATTTTGTCACAGGCAGGCAAGATACTCAGGCAAGGAGGGGTGGCTGTGGCATGGCTGTGCATGGGTAGGTGATGAAAAAGAGGGCAGAATGACAGCTCCAAGAGTGGAGGTGCACCTGGTGGGACAGAAACTTCAGCCAACCAGGCAGAGCAGGTCAGTCTGTGCCCCAATGACCTGGAAGCCGTTTCCCAAGCAAAGGTCACAAAAATTAACCAGAAGGGAAGCAGTGTAGAATGACCATGGAACGGGTCGAGGGCTGGCATCAGGGCCCTGGCACTGCCACCAGCTTCCCTACAGCTTTTCCTGTACAAAATGGGGACAGCATCTGCCCTCTCTGATTCATGAGTTGTTGTCAGGATCAAATGAAATAAAATATGAAAACACTTTAGAAAATGCAGGGTCTGAGTGCTTGTCTTAAACAGAATACGTTCTTACGACTGTCGTGCCGCAACTATTATGGAAAGAATAAGCAAAACCAGACTATTACTAGAGAAAAATGCAGTGTCATAAAGAAGCAAAATTAGTTTAGAGAACAATGTTGGAAACTTCTTAAACCCTGAGCAATTCATGTTCCACACGTACCTTTCATTTTCAGAATATCACTCTGCAATCTTTCTTTCCTCCCATGACTCTTCCAGCAGTTATACATGGTTTAATGTCAGTTCAAAATTGAGAAAACATCCCTCATCAGTGGATGCCAGGGTTATTCGCTGGTAACTATTAAACTGTGTAGACTAGGGCTGAGTGACCGCCAGGGTCACTGCTTGCTCGAGTGTGGACTGCCTCCCCAGTGCCATCAGTGCTTTTCTAAGCCATCCCATGTGAGAGGCTGCCAGAGGTGGCCGCCTCAGGGCCGCTCACGGGGCGAGGCAGCACCTTCATGCCTCTCACAGGGCAGTTTGTTCAGAAATGAGAGTTGAGATGTGCACAGCTTCCCTGTAGGAGTCCTGCTGCCTTGGGAAATACTAATGTACCTGCAGGGTCTTGAAGTTCCTTGACATTGCAGTGGTGCTGATGGACAGCTGGAGTTGGTGTCTCAGAGCTTGGGCTCCACTGCGGGCATGTGTGATTCACAGAAAACCCAGCCCATGGGAACTGAATGCCTCAGTCTGTTTTTTTTCTATCTTCATTTTTTAAAAAATTGAAATGGGATCTTATTTTTTTACTACCTTTGGAGGGGAAAGGAATGTGGTGTTATTGATTGCTTCCCATTTCTTGACTCTTTTTCTGGGCATGGGAGGCTCCAGGGTCCCATCACTATATCTTGCCAAGTTTTCTCTTTATCTCAATCCTTTGTGGAAGGAAGTGGGAGTCAGGGGATCTGAGGCCTTTCCTGAGCTGCTTTTCATAAGGGCCCAGGCTCAATTTGCCCTCCTTTAAGGTGGTTGAGAATTCAGAGACTGTTAGGTATTGTGGAATAGGCAGAAATTACCCAGAAGTTCATTTAAAATTATTTCATTGTTGGTGTGTCCAGAAGAGAGCTGGACTTGGATTCTAAACACTTGCCTCAAATCCTACCTTTCCTCATGAGATGCAATAATTGGGCTGCCCCTCAGAGGCCCCTGACTGCTCTGGCAGCCAGGCATGCTAATGTGAGCTATATTCTTCCCAGTTCCTTCTCTCCTAACTCAGTCCTCTTGTGAGATTCATGAAACAAGACCTGCCAGTCCCTCCTGGAGCTACTGGAGCAGAGAGAGGCTTAGCCCCTCGCCAGCTCCCTGCTCTGCACCCTCTTCTCTTTCTTCCTTGTTTATTGGCAGAGGTCCAGCCGTGCATGTAGAGAACAGTTGATATAAAAAAATTCTGAGCATTTTGGAACCAAATCTTTCAAATCTGATGTTTGCCAAATCTTTCCCATCTATGATGATAATCAAGAGGTACAAAATGATGTTTAGGAGATGGTAACACAAGCCCTTTTGTTTTAAATGTATAACTTCTAATTTTTGGTTCGATTCAAGCTTGGGAACATTAACATGGCTAATATTTTTTCCAAACCTTAAGACGTAGATGTAATTTAAAATTATATAGCCATACATTGCACCAATATAAGCTGTCAACAATTTGCAATACAAAATATCGTTGGTAATTTTAAATTGAATAACTAGTAATTTTTTTTTTCCTTCTCAAAATTGTAGCCAGAATCTTCAAAAGGCTCTGAAAGTGCAGTGAATGAACTAAAAGGAATACTGGTAAGAATAGATACTGGTTTATTGTTTAATTAATGGATAAAGGAAAGGAAAATATTGTTACTGTCTATTTTTTTATGGTGATTGTCTGTTTTATTTCCATTTAATTCACCTCATTTCCTTCGACAGCTCACTTGATTGTACTTATGGATTTCTCTATCACATGTTCGAATAACGTATCAAATATCACTTTGCTCTTTCTACTCTGAAAGAGTGGTTACACTTCCACCAAAGTCATTGTTTCCTGTTCTTGCCCTCTAATCCTGGCATTGTAGCATGAAGGTCAAGTGTCTGGCCATATGTGGGGATCAGTACGTGTCTGTGAATAACAGCACTATAATAGATGGGTAGTGCTTTACATGGAGAGCGCTTTCCCTTGATGGGTGAAAGTGGGATTCTTGACACCTACATGTAAACCTGAGCTCCCACCCAGATATGTTCATCTCAGGGTCACAGTCTGCTTTTTCCCACAGTTGAAGCAATTATTTAGTGAAAAATTGGAGGGTACAATAAGAGACCCTTTCTATATGCTAATTTCATTTTCTAAAGGTAATTCATATTTGTTGGAAGAGTGCATAACGTCCATCTCTAGTTCTATTTCTGTTTTCCAAAGTGGGAGCTTTTTCCAATGGAGGAAATTGCTGCCCTCTCCAAATGTCCCTTTCAGAGACAAATGCCTCACGTAGCAAGTGCTTCAGACACAGAGCTCTATTTTCAGACCCTGTTCCAGTCCCAATCCCGTTATTTTGCACAGTGAGTCTGTGATGTGGGGGCGGAGGTGCGGGACTGATACGCCCCTGTTTGTTGTTACTGTGCTAATTATGCGTTGCGTGCAGACATCACATAATGACGGCAAACAGAATTATTTTCATCAAGCGTGTCTTCAAACAGTAGACTTAACGTAGAATGGCTTAATTAGTTTGCTTTAGTTTTAAGTGAGTGGGATTAGCCCTGAAGAGAGGTGTATCACTGGCTAACAGTGGTGGTCTACCTACAGAATCAAGGATTAAAACCACTGAAAAAAAAGCGATGTAGTTATTATCTAATGGCTTCTTTAATCAGAAGATTTTGTTACCCAGTGTTCAGTTAAGGAGCACTGCCTAGGACAGTCCCTTTTATTGTCTCTGCATTAGGATGCTAATTAATGTTGATGAAGATGTCCCCAGGAGCACTCTGAGGTGCTGGAGAGAGTTCTGATCCTCTCTATTAGTATAGAGAACATACTGCACTTGACTTATGTGTTTGGCTTATTTTTAAAATTAGAAATTTATATGAGAAACATGGTAACACTTGATTATTCAGGTTACTCCCCTCCCTGACAATTCTGGATGGTGGCAAGTTACTGGATCTCAGCAATACTTTCTTGGGGGAGAGGGAGGCCCAGAACAACATGACCCTTGTCAGGCAAGCGCTCTACCACTGAGCTACACCCCTAGCTCCAAAGATATTCTTAAGTATAATATTCTCTATAATTTTTTGCCACTCCAAGGAGAGAAATTTGAGAAATTATTTACAAATTATAAAAATTTTAAAGTCATATTTTGCAAGTTGCTCCCATCCTTCTTGCCCTAGATCTATTATTAGATTGTTCTACCTTATTTGGCATTAGTGGATCTCTAGTAGTTATTATTTTGGCAATATAATTTCTTTGTATTAAGTATCTTTTAAAAATGGACCTCATGATCCTGTACCCACCTCCGTAATAAGCTTCAACTCTCCTGTACCCCAATAGAAGTTTCTGTTGAGGGACAGCAGACTCTTTGTAACTCCCAATCAACTGGAGTCAGGAAACCAGGCACATTCTTATGAGAGAGGCAGAACCAGCCCCCAGCTCACCTTGCTTCTGGTGCTTCTTGCCAGGATTCTGACTATTAGGATTATCAAGGGTGGTACCCAGCGTTACAATCACAGCAAATGAGAAGCAAATGTAGAAAAACACCAAAAAGCTCATAGTTTCATGCTGGAGTGGAGAGCAAGCACCTTTGTGTGCCAAGAGGCACTAGGAAATATGTGTTCAGTTAGTTCTCTTCCAGGACTGAACCAGGAAGCAGCTCGGTAAAGGATATTTTGCAGTGGATTGTGACTCAAGGTCTAACTAAGCCTTAGAGATTTGGTTGGCTGCTGAGCAAATCTCACATGAAGGAACAAATGTCTGATTTGGGGGGAGTTGGAAAACTCTATATTTTGAGTTGTACAATTTTTAAGGTATTAGTATGGTGCAACTCATTATTCCAAACCTACTTCCAGTTAATTTTTAAAGCTGTATATTTTTAGATAAAATATGTGTAGTTCATCTCTCATAGTTACACAAGTTTTAAGGTTTAGGAAATGACCGAATCACTTCAGTCATTTTAAAGCCACTCTAAGTGGCAGTGGTGATTCCTGAAGAATAAATCTAAATTCAGTTAGCTCCAAACCAAAGAAACAAAAACAAAACAAAAACAACTTTAAACAAATTGTCTTATAGGTCTTTTTCAAACATTTTCAGTTTTTCAAAGTACATAGGAATTGTTGAACAGTTCATTTTGCCATCTGAGATCAGTGTAGTGAGCACTTAGCAAACATGGAGCCTAAGAGGGTTTCATGTTCAGGGTGGTGTGAGGTAGAAGGAACCCTGGTTTGAGAATTAACAGAAGATTTTGTTACCCAGTGTTCAGTTCTAAGGAGCACTGCCTAGGTCAGTCTGGACCTTGCCCAGACCCTTCAGCTCACCACTGAGTTTGAATTCTCTTTGTAAAATGAAGGAATTGTATGTACCACATGGTTAATGAGCCAATTTCTCATTCTCAAATTCTGTTATTCTACCATAGATAACCAAGATAACTTTATGAGCCCAACTCTTTGTTTCTGCTGAGAGTTTAGAATCTTTGTCATCCAAGTTGCCTGTAGATTTAAAGTTTGCTTTTGTATTTGTTTACTCAACCACATCAGGCAGTAAGTGGAGGAAGAAGTTAGGCTCAAAGGTAAGAACTTGGAAAGTGGACTTCCTCCATCTCAGGTATGACAGGATAGCTTACTATAGTCAGGAATTTGGGGGAATAATTGTGTTATCCACATGAAAAAAACTAAATGATGTTGTGAAAGATAAATTTAACAATAGAAAATACCCTACACTTTTTCTTTGAATTAATACCAGCGATTAGGAAAAACCATAGTGTCCTTGACATTCAAACAAAGTATTAAATTTTATAAGTTATTTCAGTAGTGATAACTAAGTTTTCAAACATCTGGTAGCATATTATACAGATGGTATGAAGTATTATAAATACACATGATATGGGGATAGTTGTTCTAGTACACGCTTTTCAAGTTTTATAAAGTAGCTATAGTTCTGTTTTGTCAATGACAATCATACTTCACTCTGTTTCTCTTCAATAACTAAATACTGACCTGCAATGTTAAATTTAACAGGTCATCGTGGTTTTTAATTATAAAATAAGCTACTGTGGTATTATATATGATGTGACTTTTCTTTTCATATGTCTTATGAATTTTTGTAGTAAGTGCAAAGCAAAAAGAGGTACTTCCATAGAAAGAAGTACTATATTAAATATGAGCCTTATCTGATTGAAATATGAGCCTTATCTAAGTATTTCACACATGAGTTGTGAAGGTAGCTGACAGCAAAATAATATAGTCTCCTAATCTTATTAGTCAATTTCCCTCCAGACAGCAGGATACTTTTTTTATAACTTCAAACAGATAGTAGGGGGTGGGGGAGTGGGGCACTTTTCCTAAACAAAAGCAACATAATAACCTATATCAATATGAAATTTGTAAACTGTCTGATTTTACAAGGACCTTTTTTTTTATTTTATAGTCTAAAGAAGAAACACAGGTTACTGTTTTTTAGCAGGTAGAATTCTTAGAATCTTCCAGAAGTTGGCATTAGGGAGGGAACAGGAGTGAGGCCAGAGCTTAGTGAGTTCAGCTGTTCAGACGCTGGTGTGGTAATTAGCCTGGGTGGACAACAGCTCCTTCTGACTCAGGCATGAAGTCTGGCCAGTTATATTGGACTTGAGTTCCTTTATCCTCTGATCAGAAGACCATGGTTCTCCTGGCTCCTCCCTCCACCCCAAGCCTCTGGCATAGCTGAGGAGAACCACTTCACAGAAAGAGCGGACCTTTCTTCTGAAAACCTGGTAATGTTGAAGTGCTACATCCTTAATACAGTGGAGAAGCACATCACCCATATTCTCTACAAACCCTTGACTAGAAGTGGAGGTGGAAAGCATCGCTCTCCCTCTGTCACAGGGGCAGGGAACCCCTGCAGGGATCTTTGTCTTCTTGGAAGTCGGTGCCAATTTAAGCAGGAGCACAGCGGGATGCTTCTCTTGTTTCCTCCACTGTCTTCTGGGCCCTGCACAGCACCTCCACTATCACCTCTGTTAGGAACATGGAGTTGGATGCCTCCCTGTGTGCTTATAACTCTCTTCTTGCACACTGAAGTCAAGGTGTGATCAGGGCAGTCCTTCTTCAGATAGGCCACCTGGGAGAACATAGCCTGCTTCCTTTGCAGCCGCAACACCATTGTCACCAAGTGTGCAATGGGGGGTCCCTCTCTCTGAAGAATCAGCCACACACTTTTTTAGTGCCTCAAGGATTTGGGTTCGGTGGCTCATGGCTGCTGTATCAAGATACCCTTCTAAGGTGAGTTTGATATATCCATTCTCTTCTCCACTGATCAACACGTATCAGAATCTTAAAGGTCATTGGGCAAGGACTTTCCCAGTGGTGAATTTCATACTCATCTCATCATCAAGAGGTGTTCTCGTTCTGCTCTTCTGATGCAAAACCAGCATCTCCCTCGTCAGCAACATCTTCTTAAATGCTCAACCCTCTGTTGAGGATGTGCACATTTAAAATATATGTACAGCAAATTTGTTTCCTAATTCCATTCAAATTCTGGTAATGTTCTGTTGGTTTGATTTTTGTAATTTTTTTGTATATTGTATTAAGACATTAACCTTTTTGTTTTTGTTTTGTTTTTACTTTAGGGGACACTTAACAAATCCACTAGTTCAAGAAGCTTAAAATCCCTTGACCCTGAAAACAGTGAAACTGAGTTAGAAAGGATTTTGCGTCGCAGAAAGTTGACAGCAGAAGCAGATAGCAGTAGTAAGCCGTTTGAATTCTCCATAGTTCTACTCTTCACCTCTGAAACCTCTTCCTTTAAATCCCTATTTAGCTTGAAATAATCTTTTAAAAATTACTGTTAGAATGCTTATTTTTAATATGAGTGAGAAGTAGTGGATGGGCAAAGGTATTCATGGATATCTCATAAGAACTCACATATTTTTATTCATTGGTATGTCTGTTTACTTATTCATTTCTAGGTAATCAGGCATTTATGGGCCTGATTTGGTGTTTGGCCAAGAATATAGCATTGAGTCCAGGCTCTGGAACCAGACTGCCTGAGTTTGCCTCCCATCTCTGTCACTTGCTTGCCGATTGTCCTTAGGCCTCAATTTCTTTATTGATAGCATAAGGACAATGAAAGCACTGTTCCATGGGCTTGTTCTCCGGGTTAAGGAAGTGAATACAGGAAAGGTGCTTAGCACTGTGCCTGGCCCAAGTAAGCACCTGATAATTGGTAGTTTTAGTAGTAATTACATATTAGTTACAAATGCAGAGAGACTATCTTTTTTCTTCATGGCCAACCCTGTCCCAGACTAAAGGTGTACCATCTGAACAAAGCCTGGGCTCAGTATGGGTTCCAGTCATGTTAGCCACATTTTAGGCCTCAAAATGTGTGCCAGAACTGACTTTGTATATCTTTGGTTGTTTTCATCAGCTTGGTCCTGGGAATTAGCAGAAGCCTTTATAGGTTCCCCCTTTTGGAGGTGGAGGTGGAAATACAGCCATAGCTGATGGGCTGAATCTCTTAGGCTCAACTAGGTTGATTCTATATAGTCCATTGTAACTTTTAAATCTGCAAACAATTGAGCCGTGTTGACCAAATTTAAGTTGTAAGAATATTAAAGGTGGGATTTTGATGATTAGCTTCTAGTTTTTTTGTTTGTTTGTTTGTTTTTGCAACACTGAGGATTGACCCCAGGGGCACTCTACCACTGAGTTACATCCCTAGCTCTTTTAATTAATTTATTTGTTTTAGACAGGGTCTCACTAAGTGGCCCAGACTGGCCTCAAACTTGCATTCTTGCCTCAGCTGCCTCAGTTGTTGGGATTCCAGGTGTGTACCACCCAGCTTCAAGCACTAGTATTTTTTTTAAAGACTTTACTTACACAACTGAGTGAATTGATTCCTTGAATCAAAATCTGCAACATTCTAGCTGAACTTTATTATAAAAGGATGAAGCCTCTGTTGTTGTTGTTTTAAATTTAGCTATTCAGTCTGCAGTTTGGTTTGCAAATCCTGTTAAAATCCTGCAAGGACTCTTCCTTTTAATCCCTAAAATAACCACCTGTCAGGAAATTTAAAGGGGTGCATGAGACACTCTTAGGTTGCTATACAAGTGTTTATGCAGCTTCTATATGAGTTATTACTCATCTGGTGTCTTGTGCTTGAGTCACTCATTCCAGTATTTCAGCTTAGTGTTTTAGGACTTTGTGGGTGACATTTTAGTTGCTGTCATTTACAGTTCGTGCTTTGCCATAGACCTTTTTGTTCCTCCAGAAGTATTTCTTCATTCACAAATTTGATCAAACATGCAACTCTCACAGTTTCAGTTAGTTTTCATTGGAAGAAATGAGGAGACACTTTCATTTTAGTCAGATTGGAAATAGGAATAATTCTAAGTGGAGAAAGGAACATATTTTAGAGGCGTGGTGAGGACCTTTTGTTTTTTCTGATTATATTTCACCAGTGTCCAAATAGTCAATGTATCACTTGAGGGAAGTTAGAGTTAATGATATAAATTCAGTAGAACCACTAATAACATGAATAGAGAAATAAGAACTATCATTGGTGAGGTGAAGTGGAGATATACTGAGAGAGTGACTTGTAATTGAACAGAAATTTTCTTTGAGCTTCCTAATAGCCAAGGGAAAAGGAAACAACAGACTGGCAAGCTCTCTTCATCCAAATGAAATCATTCCATTGTGGTGCAGACATTTTCCTTGCATCAGTCTGGAAGAGGCATTTACTCCCTGCATCTTTTTCTAGAGGTCATGGACTGGCAAACTGTAAAGTTCCAGGGAAGAGATTGAAGAAGCAGCCGAAGCCTGGCAGCTGCGTGGCAGGGGTCAAATGACAGAGCTGAGGTCTTGGATTGATTTGTGCCTCTGGTGCAGAGAAGTCTTTGACATTGTTTGCTTCTGCACACAAAATCATACAGAAAAGTAGATGGGAGGACACCCTGGATAAAGGAAGTATCAAAAGGGAGGTGGTCCAGACTGGGCAGGACTCAGATCCTGGGTTGGAGGGTGTCGCCCCAACAGCCAGGCATGCACCGTTGTTTCTTGAGTTTTTCTTCTGGTGCTGAGTGATGTTCCCCTGCTTTCCTTAGCCTTGGAGCCTGCCAAACTGATGACTTAAAGATCAGCCAGTGCCTCTTAGAGAGCATGGGTTGGCTCAAGCAGGGTGCAGCAATAATAATCTCAAACATCGTGCATTTTTTAAAATTTCTTTTTGTATGTAAGAAAAATAAGAGCTCTGGCTCAGCTCACTACTCTCCCTCCTTTTGATTTGGCTTCAGTTGCAGAACAAGCAGCAGGGTTGGTGTGTTCAGAAACGCATCACGCCTTCCCACAAGGGCAGATTGTTTCAAGCTATCTAGGGCTGAAGTCATCAGTTACCCGGAGGCAGAAGAGAGCTGCTCTGCAGAAAGTCTGGATTCAGCTTCTTTTCTGTGTTTCCAGGAGCTAGCGCTCTGGGTCTTTCTGCCCTTCTCTTTTTACTCTCACACCCCCTGCAACACAAGGCTTAACAGAGCCAAAAGGAAAAGGCTTTTTCAGTCTGAATATTCAGTAGTGTCACCAACCGTCTGCCCAAATGGTTCAGATGAAATATGTAAGGAAGTTACACACCAGTGCTTTGTGGGCTGGCACTCTCTCCAGTCCAGAGGGTTGTGTCTCCCAGGCAAATTTTTAGCCAAATTTAAGAATAAAATTCCAGAGGTAAATATTAATAACCAAGGATGAGCTAGCATTTTAGACTGTACCTACCAGAAGCTTCCATCTTGAGAGATGATCTGACATCTCTTATGGATATGGAGACTCCCAAATTATGTCCTCCTCTTAGTATTACCTTTCAAGGTTGTTCTCAAACAAATTTTTAGAAATTGTCATTGAATTTTCATATCTATGGCTTATCTCATAAATCTCTTTGTTTCAAAAGCATGCCTTCTGAAGTTTCAGGAAAGACATACTGGAAGTTTGCTTTAAGGAAAAATTGCCTTGGATACAGTCTTCCTATAGAAAGACAGAAGGAAACCAGGATGAGGTGTTGTTCACATGCCCAGCAGTTTTAGACCAGTTTGCCAGTAATTTCAATAACAAGCCCTATTGTAGTTGTTAAATGCCATCCCAAAGAACAGAAAAGTCTAAAAGGTAAACAGCCAAACCCTTTGCCTCTTAATTTTCATAATCCTGTGTCTGTATTTTAAGAGGCAATAAATCCACTTACTTCTCATTCACATTAAAATGAAAATGTTCATAAAAGCTGTTTAATGCTCAAGAAGCCTTCATGAGCCTTTTAAAAAGAGCCTTTTGACATCGTTCCATTTTCCATGTAAAACACAGAGCCAAGTTTTGGGAAGAATTAACTCTTGAAAGGCAAGATGGCTTGGGCAGGGCTGCCAGAAAGCCATATTCTGGGGACAGAAAAGAGTTTTCGAAGTTCCAGGGCCACTGGGGACTCTGGTCCGCGAGGGAGCCATGGCTGGGGTTTATGGTTTCCCAGAGCTCTGTGCACAATTCCTCAGCGTGTCCCTGGTACTTTGAAAAGCAGCAGCTGATTTCCAGTAGGAACACTTTCAGCATGCTCTTGAAATTTTTTAACCAACTTGTCCTTTTCACTTCTTGAGGGTTTTCACCTAATCTGTTTTTCAGTACCATATTAATAAGCATCACACGGAATAATTAAACTTGAGGTATGTGTTTGGTTTTAAGGTCCTACCGGGATATTAGCCACCTCAGAGTCCAAATCCATGCCAGTGTTGGGTTCTGTATCCAGTGTAACAAAAACAGCCTTGACCAAGAAAACTCTGGAGGCAGAATTCAACAGTTCGTCCCCCCTAACACCTGAGCCAGGTGAAGGGCCCCGTAAATTGGAAGGATGCACAAGTTCCAAGGTTACGTTTCAGTAAGTAACGATGCTCTTTACTAAGTAGTATATAGAAGAATCTGTAATGACTAACTTGTGTTTCTTTGGTTTGTTTCTCTTCAGAGAGGTTTTGATTTGGCTAGACAGTTCTCTTCCTCCTTCCTTTGATGAGCCAACTTTTGCTTCTAAGCACCTGCCCCAGAGCTCTCCTTCAGATCCAGAGCAAATACCATGTCTAAAGGGAATTCCTTCCCTAAACTGGTTTGGCAACAGGTTCTTTTTCTACACAACGAATTGACCTGGCTGATACTCAAATTCCGTATCAGGAGACACCTAGTCCTTCAAAGTTAAATGTTAGGTTCATCTGTCTTTCATGGTTCCTGAGCAACCGGAGAAGGTGCTAGATCTTGCAGAGGCCACTTTGAAGCATTCTTTTGTACAGACGTATTTCCTGGTCCTCTGTGAAAGATGTGCCTCCACCCTGCTGTATCCTGGGATGAAAACATCCTATGTAAGGAGTCGTGTACGCAGACTGGCTCCAAAGTGACACTTTGTCAGTGAGTTCTCGTGGAAGATCAATTTGTTTTATAACAATGGCAAGCTCTTTTTGAAATTAGTCTACACTTTTGCTTTAGTTCTCTTGCCAGGATGTCAGCTAGTTTGTCAGCTGAAGAAAAGGAAGAGGTGAGGCAAATCAGATCACCCGAATATTGTAATCGCAGTTAATTAAACCTCTGATTTCCTGTTCTGTCAAGAGAGAAAGAGCCCCTTTTTTTGTAGCTTTAGCTGTCTTAGCTTAAAAGGTGAAACCTGGACAAATGAAGTTGAAATTCAATTTGGATCTATTTTTGCCAACTGGTATTTTCTTCCTCTCTTTGCATTTCTCTCATTGGTGCTATTAACTCCCCCCCCCCCCTCTTTTGGAATGAATGGCCTTCCTTGCTGATTTACAGTTTTACCTAATTTCATTGTGTTTAAAAGCACATTTTCTCCTGCAGTCGTATATTTCCTTTCTTTTGACTGGAGTCATTTGCACAGTTCTAACAGAAAGATGATCTATATTCACTCTTCATCTTTCCTATTAAATTTGTTTAACACCTAATTTGACATCAACAGTCTGGCTACATTTGAACCAATACCTAGACACAAAAGCAATTTAGCTGAGACAAGTTAGTTTCTGAGAAATGCTTCAGTGTGTGTGTATAGATTTTTTTTTTCCTTTACCATTTTACACAGATAATCTTAATCAGAAAATACTGCAACTCCTTCTTCCTTTTGTCTGCCTTTTATTCTCCAAAAGTAAGTGGAAATTACATTTCCAAGAAAGGAAATGAAATAATTGCAGGCCCAAGGTCTGCAAAATGTGTGTTGAATTGACAGTGAAAAGGATCCATGTGTTGACAGACACAGTTGTTAGATGCCATAAAGGCCGATGTGAAGCTCAATTTATTTCTCATCTTGCTCGTTCAATGACTGCTTAAGGGACACATTTCAATTTAATTTATCCACTTAAAGCACTAATACAAATACTCTGTGCTGCTGTATTAACTTTTAAACTTTGTAACCTAATGCTTGATTATTCAGTTCTTGACATTCTGTAGCTGAAATAACTACTGCCACCTATTTTCATATTGACAGGCGTTCAGCAAATAAGAGTACCTTTCTGAGAACTCCGTTCCCTCAATACAGCTAGACCAAAGGAATCAGAGGATTTGGGGTATCTACAGGGCAATTATTCGTTTCCTAGACAGGCACTCTTCATTCATCTGTGTGTAGATTAGCAGTGTAATGACTCAGAGTTTAACTTAATGTAGTTACCTGCAGGCTTTAAAAGTAAAAACTCATGTTATTTGTTAGGATCTCTTGAAACCAGGAATGAGAAGGGTTATTTCCAGGGCTGCTTCTGGCTGGCTCTGCTATACTAATATGTATTGTGACACCACCACATTGTCCCGCCTTATGGACTTGAACTAGCAAAGCACTAGGAAGTCAGGACAGCAATTAAAAAACGAAATGTTCCTTTACTTTTTAAAAAGCAATTTCACACCCAAGGATTGCACTTTGGTTTAGATCAGTGGCAAGACCACCGTGGCTTTTCAGGTGCGTGCACCTTCTGCCCTTGACAGGAGTCAGGGTCAAGGGTGCCTGCCAGTCAGTGGGGCCTCTGGTACACACATCTTTCCCCAGCATGTGTGTGTGTGCCCCTTACCTACCCTTCATCACTCACCCTCCTGCTCTCCTCTCCTCTCTCCAGTTTGGCCTCTTTGGCCAGGTCCCATTCCCCACTGGGCCCTTTGCTTGTGTGGTCTCCTCTGCCTAGCACACTTTGCCCAGACCTGCCTGGCCCACCCACTCACCTCTGTCAGCTCTGTGCTTGGGCCCCATCTTCTCATGCAGTCTCCTGGCCACCTGCTTACCTGTAGCCCCTCTTCCTCCAAACTCTGGTTGCCCACCCCGCCTGCTGGCAGGTGTCACCTGCTGGTTTTCTCTACACAGATTCTCTTCATTGTTCACTTTTTCTCTCCCTGCACTGAAGTGTAAGCTCAGTGGACTTTTAGGGACTTTTTGGTTTGATTTGTTCTCTGGTTTTCTCAAACACCAGTAGGCTCTCAAGTGAATGGGTGAGCACGTTTTTTTTAATATGAATAAAACAATGGATGGCTCAGATAGACAGGAAAGTTTGCTAATCAACCAGAAAGTTTTCCAGCGTGAAGGTAGTCATAAAGGTGTTTTCTGTGTAAGGTCTTCACTTACCCAGAAAATTGAATAACTTCAAACTCTGCCTGGAAATTTTTTTCCTTTCAATAAGTTCCTAAAATCAATACATGTGTGCTCCCCATGTAAGTAATTCTTGTGTGAAAATTATGTGTCAGATACATATTGGTTTATTTCCTAAGGACCGATGACAAAGCAAGAGACACTCTTAATACTTAATTACAAAGATTAATTAGAATCAGTATTCTTGTCTCCAGTATAAGCAAAGCAAGGTTTGGGGGTGTTTTTTTTTGTTGTTGTTGTTGTTTTGAAACAAGAAGATAAAAGATAATCAGAGCATGGGAATCTATTTTTTCTGTTTCTGTTTTAATAATAACTTTTAAAATATAACGTCCTATTATTTCCAGTAAGTATATATATACTACGTAGTCATGATTTCTTAAATCTCAGGGTGAATTTAAATTTTATTAACTTTGAGTGGCTGTAATGCAGATGGGAATTATGCTCGCAACCTCCTTTTATGTTTGGATGGGTGAAGAGTCAGCTCTGCAATGAACAGGGTTTACACCTAATTTTTGCTTTTGTGCTCTTTTCCCTGACACTGTTAAAATCTGATAATCCAATGATGTTAAAATGTAGTAAATTCTTTGATTCAGGCTATTCAGTGGGTGAGATGGTCAGATTAAAAGAGGGGAAGTTCTAAATTACAGAATTTTTAAAAGAAACTATCTTTTGGGGTCTAGGGTTTAACTCAGGGCAGAGCACTTGCGTGATCCCCAGTGTGGCGAAAAGAAACTATCTTATTACTTTCAGGCAGCTATAATACCTGAAAATAGGCTATCCAAGTGTTGCATAGTCTGAAAAACTAGAATGGTAGTGTCTTCATTAACAAAAGCCTGGGAGAAAGGGGACTCAACAAAGAAACAGTGTGATCAGTTTTCTAAACCTGGCCTTTTCCACCTCTGCTCAGGGTGGCAGATCAGATAGACTAGTGTTCAGATCTCACATCTACTATTCACTGTCTTTGACCTTGACAAATTATTTAATCTATGACTTAGTTTCTCTTACATAAATTGTGTTTGGTAACCTCCGCCCTGCATGGTTGTCGTTTAAATCAGATAATATATGAAAAGTATTTTAGTACATTCCTATCTTAAAATTCTAATGCTGGGATAATGGATCACCAAGGACAAGAGTTAGAGCTGAAAGCTAAGATACCGGAGACTTTGGTCAATGTGGGCCAGGTGACCTTGGACAAGTCTTAGTGAATGGGTATGGTGCTGGGGATGGAACCACAGGACTGGCGCATGCCAGGCAGGGGCTCTGCTGCCATGCCACCCCACAGCCATGGATGTCACTCATGTCTTGTTTCCCGTTTGTTGTGTTCCTCATGCTCTGATATTGAGTCTGCTGAGTCCCTTTTGGTTCCTCCAAATTCCTAACAAACATGGTTGCTTGGTAGAAATGTTCAATTAGAAACAAGATTTAAGTACATATTTTCTGCCTGCAACCTTGTTTCATTACTTTATAAACTTACTGTAAAACACACACAAACCTAGAAGTGTAAAATAATTAATATTTAAGTTAAATGATCAGAACTCACAGGGTTCACACCTAAGTCCTATTCAAATTACTGTTGTCCCAAGTGCTTTTAGACCTGTTTGGGTTAGAAACACCTGGTCTCAGAGGAAATAATTTTCTATCTGACTATTTTGGGGTAGAAAAAGTAGAAGAGAAGGAAAGACCACTTCAGAGCCATTCTTGGTCCTATAAGAGACTTAGTTAAGTACTTATTTGCATCAAAAAATGTTGTCTCCCATTTTAATTACCACTGACTATTCAGCATGTTTCCAAAAGACTTTGGCTTTTGAAAGTGGATTTAATTTAGGGGAGTAACCATCAGTTTTCCACCTTTGCTGGCATGTATGTGGTTTATTGTGACACAGACACCTGATCAAACTCCCAGCAACATACACAGAATGCCACGCAGCACAGTCAGGCTGAACCTGGCGCTGGGTAGCCTTCCTGCTTTCACTCAGGTTGCCTAGTCCCACGTGCCTGCGCACTGGCACATTGACTGGTGGGCAAGGAAGAGATCAGTATTTCAGAAATAGAAGCACAGGCTGAACAATAACTAAGAAAACCCAGTGGACTTAGATGTGGGTGACCTTTGTCTTCCATTTTAATCCTATGCAAGATCCTGAAACTCTGTTATCAACAGAATGCATAAGTCTGATGTTCTTGATTGATGTAGCCACAATAAATTAGAAAAACTCTACAGCATTAGAGCATGTGAGCTCAGCACAGTGTGCATGTGCTAGAAG